TAAAAACTAACTGTTGCACGCGACTTTGACCGCGTGAAATTAAAATATGTAGTCAATGTTACTAACAGATAAATTACCTTTCTAATGGTGAGAGATTTTTTAAATCGGTTCAGTAGTTTTTACGTGAATCGAATACATACAAAAAAACAAATCTTGCCTATCATACCATCATATGTCATATAAATAATATAAATGCGAAAGTTACGATGGATGGATGGATGGATGTTTGTTAGCGTTTGTAGCCGAAACGGCTGAACGGATTTAGATGAAATTTTGTATAGATGTAGAGGATAGTCTGGAAGAACACAAAGGCTACTCACCATTGTTTTTTTTAATTCCACGCGGACGGAGTCGCGTGCGAAAGCTAGTTTATAATATTAGTATAGATTGTTTTGACAAACGTTTATGTTACCAATATTATAAACTAACTGTCGCCCGCGACTCCGTTCGCGTGTTATTAAAACAAACAAAAGTGAGTAGCCTATGTGTTCTTCCAGACTATCCTCTACATCTATACCAAATTTCTTCGAGATCCATTCAGCCGTTTAGGCTACAAACTCTAACAAACATCCATCTAAACTTTCGCATTTATAATATTAGTTATTGTATCTTGTATAGTAAAAGTTTTTTTTTAATCTGAACGGACGATAGTAAGTAATATATTGTATTCTAGACCCACTGTTCGGTTCATGGAAGACACCATCCAAGGAGAAGAAGAACTTCAACCTTCCTCAGCCCAAGATGGCCAACACCGACCTCAGCCGTCTGCTCAGGTCTGAGGAGATCCGCAAAGTGCTCAGAGCACCCAAGTAAGTTGCATATATACCAAAAAAAACATACAGACGAATTGAGTAACTCCTTTTGGGAAGTCGGTCAAAAATGTGTCAAAAACCTTCATACACTTTGTTTGATTTCATTAATTTAAGTTAGATCTTGCAATAATTAATCTATTTTATTTATTGTAATTTATTTATACAAAGAATAAAACAATAAATACCCCTTCGGGCGTGCAATATAATGAGTACAAATGCAGCGAAACAAACATTTGGGAATAACAACATAAAGCACCTCATACTTTATCATATTTAAACTTTGACATTACCCGTAAAAAACCTTAGTATAATTCATTGAGAAATAATTAATAAAAAAAAAATAGTAATATAAAATATTCACTTTACTACTACAATCAACATTTATAAGAAAATAATTGCATTTTCTATCTATCTGTACTTCTATACTAATATAATAAAGCACAAATACACTACTTTGTTAGATCTCAGCACAGTATGTATTTGAAAAATTCTTTCTTTAATAAAAATCCTTACACTAACGACACACTATCGATTATATATTTTCACACTATTAAATTTAAAGGGTGAATAATTTGAGAATCATAATGATGAAGCACGCACTCTCGTGGATTAACACAGCTAGTTATTAAAAAAAATCCAACATATAGTACTTAAATGATGATATTCTCTATCAGAGCATTGGGTTATGATTAAAATGATTACTCAATCACGTTGACAACAACTGACAACATCAACACAACACAACAACAACTAAACAACAAACAACCATTCAACAACACAACTTTTCAGCAAGCGTGTGATCCGCGCCACTCGCAAGTTGAACCCGTTGACCAACACGAAGGCGATGTTGCGTTTGAACCCGTATTCAGCTGTACTGAGAAGGAAAGCTGTACTCGACCAGCAGAGGAAGAGTAACGCACGCGCTTTGGCTTTAGCGGAGAAGAGAGGCGTAAGTATATAACTTATTTAAAATATTCAGAACGAAATAACTATAGCAGATAAATGTAACAAAAAATATTAAAAATATATGCTAAGAATAGAAAGCGCAACAAAATCGGTCCCCCAGGGCCGGAGATATAGCGCAACATACTCAAAATCATACTAATGTTATAAATGCGAAAGTTTAGATGGATGGATGTTTGTTAGAGTTTGTAGCCTAAACTGCGTAACGGATTTTGATGAAATTTAGTATAGATGTAGAGGATAGTCTGGAAGAACATATAGGCTACTCACTTTTGTTCTTTTTAAATTCCACGCGGACGGAGTCGCGGGCGAAAGCTAGTATATGATAAAATGCAAATGCCTACAGTTGTCGTTTTGCTATTTTGGCGAATTTCGATCGCCGTTTTACCACTTAATAGTGTTTAAAAATACTCAGTAGGCCTTTTCCCTTCCCAAACCTTTGTTATAAGAAAACGATGGGTAGGGATAATGGATTTAATAGTGGAGGGGAATACGCGTAGGAATTGGAAGTATTTTTTTTATCTGCAATCTTTTTTCATCAATTAGGAGTTATATAAATGTAATTCTGCATCCATGATGATATCCTCTATCAGAGCATTGGGTTATGATCAAAATGATTACTCAATCACGTTGACAACAACTGACAACAACAACAACACAACACAACAACAACAAACAACAAACAACCATTCAACAACCCACTTATTCCAGATCAAGTTGCCAGCACGTGACCCGGCCGTGAAAGCGGAGAAACTACGTGAGAGGAGACTAAAACTTCTGAAACTTGCGGCCGCGAAGAAAACCAAGAAGCCTGTAGTCAAGAAAACCCCCCCACCACCTAAGAAGGTGAAAAAAGAAAAGGCACCGGCCAAGAAGTAGACGGGAAATATACTTTATAACTGAATTGTGGTTTTTATTTTACCTTATCAATGACTACGGTTTTCTGTGGTATCCTGTGACAATATTTGACCCAGACTGTGCTCATAGACTTTCTGTCTGTACTATGCAAATATAATAGAGCGTAAAAACGTAACTTCGTGGTTTAGGATGTCAGCAATCACAGTATATTTTTAAATAATTATTCCTTTAATACAAAGCCCTATACTTACGACACGCTTTAGGATATATATTTTCACGCTATTATACTTAGGGGATAATTAAAATGAAAAATAAAAAGAAACCACGTGGGAAAGGGACCATGAACAACAAGTCAAGGAAGCAAGGAAGGTTGCCATGGTAGTACTAATATATGAAGGAAAAATTTGTCTGTGTTAAAATAACTCGAAAACAATTTTAAAAATTCTTGCATTATGAAAAAGCTACGTAATCGCTTAGTAATCTAAAGTAGGCTATATTAGGCAAACGCTGTTCTGTACTAATATAAAGAGGAAAGATTTGTATTTTTGTATGTATTCGATTCAAGTAAAACTAGGCCTATTTCAAACATCTTTCACCTTTAGAAAGGTTTATCAGTAACTTAGGCATTTTTTTTTATTTCACATGGACGAAGTCGCGTACAGCAGCATTGTAAACTACTTTTGTTCGTTCGTGAAAGTTTTAATTGTAAAAAAAACAACTCCATGTTAAGACACGTTTATTTACAAATAAAAATGATCACAAAGTTTCCTTTATAATGTATAATTTTTATTATGACGAATAAGTCTAGCGTGTACAATTCTACAATAAACATCACAATGATTGAGAAATAATTTGCAGATAAAATAAAGCAATTATGGGTTTAAATACTGAACAAAAAAACGAAATTACAAAAACTGTAGAACCTCGAAAGTTAAAGTCCAAGAGGAACACAAAATATTTTAAGTTATAGAGGTTTTAAGTTATCAAGGGTCTATGTTATAGAGGTTTTGGGTTCTGATGGGAAGGGAACATATTATTTTTTGGACTTTATCGAGGTTCTACTGTACATCTAAACGATTATTGCTTTTTTTATATATTTTAAATAAAATAAAATCATAAGAGATCTACATCGCCTTAAAATGTTTTTTGGAATGATAGTTTATCCAATATTTTTACAAATATATATTGAAATGTATGAATATCACAAAATTATTGCTTATAATATAAATTTTAAATAATAATAAGTCAATAGTTTGTAGATTTTATATTAAACTAAAAAAAAAAAAGTTACGAAAATGTAACAGAAATATTAAAAATGCAATCCATAGAAGACAGAGAACCTTATACGTGAAAAGTGCGAAAGAGATAGAACACATCTATTCCAGTGCTGCCAACTTAATGTAGATTATAAATTCAGCTGTCATTTCTATATAATCACAAATCATTATTTTTAATAGAAAAAATTGTGCTTTTTTTTTATTAAATACGTAGTTAATCTATTATGCGGCATTTTATATAAATCTGTATATAAGCTACTCAAAAATAACTGCAATATTTCCATTAATTCTAAAACATACGTCTAATTTGGAATATTTCATATAAAATTTCATTCTAAAAGTTGAAATAATGAGTGCCAATAAGGGCTTGGACCAAAAGTTCAGCCTTAAACATTTCGATTCAATTATGAACCTTTTCTCATTGGAAATAACAACCAATTTCTTATTTAAACAATAGCTCAACGCATTTTCAACCTTATCAAGTACAAGATAAGTATGCAATTCGATTAAAATTTACTAAATCACAAATGTTATTTTCACATTTTATTTTGAATTTGAATTCACAATAAGGATATGTTTGGATTTAATATCTTTCTAATTCACTGTACAAGAGACTTTCAATCTTATTTCGTAATAATACAAAGATATTTTCAACCCTATTTCATTATTCAAAGAGATTTTCAATCTTAAGTCGTATTACGAAGAGACTTTCAACCATATTTCGTAATACAAAGTGATTTTTAACCTTATTTCGTAATACAAAGTGATTTTCAACCTTATTTCGTAATCCAAAGTGATTTTTAACCTTATTTCGTAATACAAAGTGATTTTCAACATTATTTCGTAATACAAAGTGATTTTCAACCTTATTTGTTTTGTAATTTAGAGGGATTTTCAACCTTATTGCAAAAGGAATAAGTAAATCTCTTGTACATTAAAAATATTATTTTAAGATAAAGGCGTTGAGGTTTTGTGACAATAAGGGTCTGTCCCACCACTGGCTGATAGAGGCTCAGATAGCTTAAGTGGCGTCTTTGTCAGATAAGGTAACAAAATCCGATATTTCAATCACATATTTTTTTCAATTTGGTGGAACAGGCGCTTAAATTTTTTAATTAAAATAGTATAATTTTGAACTTTATCTTATAGTTAATAAAGATTTATTAGATTTGATAGCTGCTCGTAATTTCTTCACAAAAGCTGCGGGCTGTATTAATATGGACACTTCAGTACCGTGCATACTTAGACGGGTCATTTCTTCTTCACCGCCCTATTAATTATACTAATATTATAAATGCGAAAGTTTAGATGGATGTTTGTTAGTTTGTAGCCTAAACTGCTGAACGGATTTTGATGAAATTTGGTACAGATGTAGAGGATAGTCTGGAACACATAGGCTACTCACTTTTGTATTTTTTTAATTCCACGCGGACGGAGTCGCGGGCAAAAGTTAGTATTTTTCATACATAAAAAAATATTATAACAAAAATTTTCTCTTCCATTTCATCATAAGTAGATTTTCCACGCGACTTCGTCCGCGTTAAAGTACTCCAATTCCAGACTATCCTCTACATCTATGACAAACATCGAGATCCGGTCATAACATCCATACATAAACATAAAACATCCATACTAGATAAAGAAACTTAAACATCCATCCAAACAGTAGTCTGGAAGAATACATAGGCTACTCATGTTTTTTCCACATGAACAGAGTCGCGGGAGAAAGCTTGTATAAATGTTTTTACCTTTAGTAAATCTATCGGTCTATTGTTAACTTCAGTGACGGCCCACTTGCCGGGGGGCGGCAGGCCGGCGCGCGCCGCCGAGCCCCCCTCCACTGCGCTGATCGAACACTCCCCGTCTAGTTTTATACCTGGATTAGACATTTCAACATAACTTCAAACATATTAATAGCTGTTCATGCGATTTCGTCAGCATAAAATTATTTTATTGTTTACATGTGTCAAATTTAAAGCGTCGGTGGTTCAGTGGTTTAAGCACTTGACTTGTAATCTACAGGTCTTGGGTTCGAATCCCACTGTACCTGTGATTTTCGTTTTTTCGAATTTCCATATGTACATAATTTACCCGACGTTGTTACGGTGAAGGAAAACATCGTGATGCAGCACATATCGGCGAAGAAATTCAAAGATATGTGTGAAGTCAACCAACCCGCAGTGGGCCAGCGTGGTTGACTATGGCCACCCTTACTTAGGGTAGGCTCCGAGCCCTTCGGTGGGGACCTATAGTGAGCTGGTGATTATGTGTCAAATTGTCATTTGTAAATGTCAAAATGACATGACATGACAAAACTTGGCAATCTTGCTTTCTTGATGTTGGCAGCAACTTATGGTCTCTCTCCTATGTACCCCTAAGTTTAATGGCGTGAAAATATATAGCCTAAATCGTGACGTAAGTGTAGGGCTTTTTATTAAAAAAATATGGTGTAATTGCTGACATTTTAGGCAACAAAGAAGTGTATGTTTACGCTTTATTATAATAGTATAGATAATATAGATTAAAAAGTAGTTTAAGCACGCGACTCCATCCGCGTGGAATTAAAAAAAAAACAAAATGAAGTATCCTTTAAAAGTTTCATTGAGATCAGTTCGGCAAATAAGGATACAAACTCTAACATATAGAATTTCACATCTTACTAATATTATAAATGCGAAAGTTTAGATGGATGTTTGTTAGAGTTTGTAGCCTAAACGACTGACCGGATCTCGATGAAATTTGGCATAGATGTAGAGCATACTCTGAAAGAACACATAGGCTACTTTTTATCCCGGGAATAGTTACGGTTCCCGTGGGATTCGTTTATTTATTAATGTTCACTCGATAATTCTGCAACGGTTCAACATATCTCATTGAAATTTGGCACAGATATAAAACAAAGTCTGGAGTACACATGGGGTAAGTTTCATCCCCGAGAAATGTCCGGTTCCCGGGATACGTAGCTTTCTGTAATTTATATAGTTCGTATGTTCTCTTATACCACGCGGACGAAGTCGCGGGCAACAGCTCGTTTATAATAATAGTAAGTAAGATGAAAATGGATGGATGTATGGATGTTTATGAGTTTGCATCCAGAAACTGCTGAACAGATCTCGATGTTTATAAATATAAAGAGTGGAAGAACCTATAGAATACTTTTTTTTTTCAATTCCACACAGACGAAATCGCGAGCAAAAGCTAGTATCTTATTAATACTGTAAACAGACTTAATACAGACATATTTCCATCAATTTAAATTAAATTTATATATTTATTATCAGTCAGGTAAAAACTAGAGTACATATTTATTAAGCAGGTATCTAAGTGATCAAAGATACAATTAAATTTGAGGGCAAATTAAATAACCATTAACTTCTCTGAGTAAGTACATCAACTCACCTATACTTTCTCTATCTCTTTTGCTTATCACATATATCTTGCCGAGCGGCACCCGGTGGAATAATATATCTACCTGGAATTAACACATTTTTATATTATCTTTGTTTTATTGAAGAGAAAGGGAAAATAACATATTAATAAAACAAGTCTAAACATCGTGTTAGAGTTACAGTTATCGTTTTTAACAGAATAAATCTAAGCGGAAAGCAAATAAGTAGGTGAGTAGTGCGAGTAGTGCGAGTAGTGTGTGTGGTGCGAGTGGTGCGAGTAGTGTGTGTGGTGCGAGTGGTGCGAGTAGTGTGTGTGGTGCGAGTGGTGCGAGTAGTGTGAGTAGTGCGAGTAGTGAGTTGTTCCAGTAGTGCGTAGTCCGAGCAGTGAGAGTCGTGTGAGTCGTATGAGTAGTTTGAGTAGTGTGAGAAGTGCGAGTAGTTTGATTAGTGCAAGTTGTGTGACTAGTGCGTAGTGCGAGTAGTTTGAGTAGTACGAGTAGTGAGTAGTGCGAGTAGCACGAGTAGTGAGTGGTATACTGACGAGCGGCGAGTGCGCGGCCTTGAGCAGCGCGCGCGCGTGCGCGGCGGAGGTGGGCTGCGCGCCGCACAGCGCCGCCACGCGGTCCCCGCAGCGCCCGCCGCAGCGCGCCCCCGCCACGCCCCATCTACCTATCCTTTACACAAAACACTTTCCTTCACTAGCTATCGCCCGCGACTCCGTACACGTATAAATAAACAAAACAAAAGTAACCTATGTGTTCTTCCAGACTATCTACTTGTATGACAATCATCGAGATCCGTTCAGTAGTTTAAGACACAAACATACATCATCCATCTAAACTTTCACATCTTACTATTATTATAAATGTGAAAGTTCATCTGAACTTTCACATTTATAATAATAGTAAGATCTCTCTCTACATCTATGACTAACATGTACATCTGTACATGTTAGTCATAGATGTAGAGGATAGTCTGGAAGAACACAAAAGATACTTAGGGCCTGCCCCACCATATTGTAAATTATCTGATAAAAAATTCAACGTTTAAATCATGTGAAGTCATTTTAAGCTATCTGAGTATCTATCAGCCAGTGATGGGAAAGGCCCTAATTTTTGGATTTTTTAAAATTTATAATTTCAATTGGACAGATGGGTATGTTAGTTGTGAGAGGGGTTGGAATATGTGGGGCATCGCGGTGGCAAGCGAAAGCGATCCCGTGGCGCCCCACAAAATGACCAGGAGGGAACGGAGGGGTTTAGTGAGGTATGCCCCCCACTATGGGGGAGAGTCCCACATAACTCTGGTGTCTGCCCCGAGGCACGGAGTATGCGTAACGCATTCCATTCCGAAAAAAAAGGAGGGTTGGAATATGGGGGGGTGAGTGTTCATACATACCACACATGTCGCTCGTAGTCCACAAATATCGGGGGGTCTCTGACAGAGAGCGATGTAGCGACAGCCGCCCCCCGGCGCTGCTCGGCACGTAATGCCGCCGCCTGGCGCGCGCGTAATGGGACCATCGATCCCGCAGATAGGGGGTTTGGGGGTGACTGGCCTACGTCACGCAATATAGGGGGTGATATAAATAACTAGCTGTTGCTCGCGACTTCTCCAGCGTCAAATTAAAAAATAGAAATACAGCCTATGTTACTTATAAAGCTTTCTAATGGTGTAAGAATTTTTTAAATCGTCCCAGTAGTTTTTGAGTTATTTATAGAAAAATACAAATCTTTCCTCTTTATAATATTAGTACAAATAACATCCATCCATCCATATTACAATTTTCATGTAAGAGTTCTCATGAGTTAAAGGAAGGATTTGTATTTTTGTATGTATTGGAAAAACTACTGGGTCGATTTCAAATTCTTACGCCATTATAAACCTACATTATCGGTGAGTAAGATAGGCTATATTTATAGATTTCTTGTGGACGAAGGTACAAGTAACAGCTTTACTTATAAAATACCAAAGCAAAAAGTCAAACTTTGCTATCTCTCATTTTTATAAAAACCCATACATTATACCACGCTATAGGCTATATATTTCCACGCTATCTAATTTAGGGGTTGAATAAATTAAAAAAAAACCGTTATGCTAGAAAGGGACAAAAATACAAGCCAATAGTATTAAAGCAAGATTTTTGGTAACAAGTATTATCTAATAGAAAAGTCTGTGCGTTTAATTTTTGACACTAATTAAAGATTTTTTTTCAATTCATACAGTGCAATTTAACAGTGGTAGTGCCCGCTTTAACATCTTCGCACGAATTGGCCGGCTCGCCCCCAGTAATACCACGACCACACAGAAAACAGGCGTGAAGTGGAAGCAACTCCGCGTTTCGTCTGATGAGTGTGGTGCCGGAGGCCTAATTTTATCCCTTTCCCTTTCCACCCTTCTCTTAAGAGGAAAGGATGGGAAGGAAATGTGGATTTGACAGTGAAGGAGACGCATAGGAAGGGGAAATATCCTCTTTATGTGCGTCTCCTCCTCCATCAATGAAGGGTAGGCAGCGCATCTGCAATTGCGGATGTTTATGGGCAGCGGTCGCTTTCCATTTCGGTGGATTCAGGTGGCCGCTTGCTCGTTTGCCACCTTATATTATAAAAAAAAAAAAATACGGAAACTGCTATAATAAGATTAAAAAAAAAACATACCATTACTGAGAGAGTTACTTCTTCTCCTACTGCTGTCGACTCTACCTTGAGGTCTCGATCTATGTACAACTTTGACTGGAGACGTTACCCTGGAAATGTATGGATGTTTGTTACTCTATGACTCGATCTATCAAAATAGACGAAAACCTTTCCTATTGCGTCAGGAATAAAATAGCGCTGTTAACTATGTATACTAATATTAAAGTAAAGATTTGTATTTTTGTATGTATTGAAAAAACTCAAAAACTACTGGGTCGATTTCAAAAATTCTTACACCAATAAAAAGCTTTGTTATTACTGAGTAACACAGGCTACAGTTTTCATTATTTTCTAATACCACGTTGATAAATCGCGAGCAAAAGTTAGTCTATACTAATATTATAAAGAGGAAAGATTTGTATTTTTGTAAGTAATTGATTCACATAGAAACTACTGAACCGATTTTAAAAATTCTTTCACCATTAGAAAGGTAATTTATCTGAGAGTAACATAGGCTATATTTTTAAATCACGCGTGGACGAAGTCGCGAGTAACAGCTAGTAACATACCTGTCTCCTGGTTCCTCTTGTCTTGTCGGACTTTCTTGTCTCTTTCCTTGACCCAAACCTCTCAGCCGACTTAACAAAGACAACTCTGTTAAACCACGCTTCCAAATTGGCTTGGGGGCCTCATTTTTATCTAAAAATAAGTAAAAAAAAGGTATAAACCCTACCAAATATGAACAACAAGGGATATAAATCTATCAGGTTAATAAAATTCAATTTATCTATATCTAAAGAGAAGTTTTTTTGTATGTAACGGATAAACTCATAAACTACTGGGGCAATTTTTAAAATTCTTTCACTTTTAGATAGATAAATTATCACTGACTAACAAATTACTTCATACTAATATTGTAACCTAACTTTCGCATAAGATTCCGTCCGCAAGGAATTAAAAAAACAAAAGTGAGTATCCTATGTGTTCTTCCAGATTTTAACTATGACAAAATTCATAGATATAGTTCAGAAGTTTAGGATATAAACTTTAAGAAACACCCATCCATCTATTATTAGAAAACTTATTTGATACTGTCGCTTTTAACTCAGAGCAATACGTCAAGACTCAAGTTACGCGCCAATCTATCCATACTTCTAGTGACATTGACAGCTGTCAGCTAGGGACGTGCCGTTTATGCCGATAATCTAGAGTTGCGCCAATTCTATAGCACTGTACTAATTTTATTCCTAACATTATACACCTAAGCTTTCTCATTTTAAATATAATTAAGATGTGAAAGTTAGTAAATTAAACTGCTGAACGGATTTCAGTAAAATTTGTCACAGATGTAGAGGATAGTTTATTAAATCCAAACAAACGGAATCGCAGGCAAAAGCTAGTAATATATACTATAAGGGAAAATATTATTTTGGATTCTGCGGACGAATAGTGTTATAAACTTTTTTTTTTTATAACAAGGTGGCAAACAGTCCCCAGAATCCTTCAAATGGCGAAGCGACCGCTGCCCATAGACATCCACAGTTGCTGATGCGTTGCCTACCCTTATCCGACGGAGGAGACGCACATAAAGAGGATATTTCCCCTTCCTATGCATCTCCTCCACCGTCAAACGTACTTCCCCTTCCCATCCTCTCCTTAAAAGAAAAGGGTGGAAAGGAAAAGGCATTTAAATTAGGCCTCCGGCACCACACTCATCAGACTGTACACAGAATTGCTTCCACTTCACGCCTGTCTTGTGTGGTCGTGGTATTGGGGGCGAGCCCTGCAGTGCTAAGATGTTAAAGCGGGCACTACCACTGTTAAACTATTGCTTACCATTTTTAGCTTCTCTCTTCGGACTATTATGTACTTTTCTTAACAAATTTTCTTTCAATCTTCCAGCACCATCACAAGCGTTCTGACTATGAGATCTTTCAACATTGGTTCTTAACACCCTTGTATTAGGGTTCAAATTACTAACAGACTGTATAGCATTCGTCACATTCGTTCGAGTTTCGTTCGAGTTAACTTCCGAACGACCATTAGTAGAATCTTCAGTCACATTTAAAGTAACATTAGTAGTATTATTCCTATTCCGACTAGTATTAGGGTATAAATATTCATAATCAGATTCCGATGATAATTCCAAATTAGGTAAAGACGATTTCCTGATTTTGTCCATATTTTTAATTTTATTAACTGGCAACGGCGACGTCGGCTTGTCTCTGGACGTGGACGCCATACATAATCTTTCGTAGATGTCATCTGTCGCTTTGACAGCTTCTCCTGTCAGACTGACAGTGGTTGTCAAACTTAAATGGCCGTAATCATCGTTTTTGGAGAATATCGTCCCATAGTCATTTTCGTTGGTATTTTGAACGTTTATTTCAGTATTGACTATATTTATAAAGCTATGTTGGTCACTTTGACCAGTGTCAGGTGAAACTGTCACGTTTTGTTTAAAATTGAAGTCAAAAACATCAGTTTCTGGACCTAGGACTGGAATGGCTGTGTGCGGAGGACCTTTATTGGAGACTTGAATTACTGTTACATTCGTTCTTTGGGGTAGGCTGGAATAAAAATTAAATATATAACGTCTACAGTAACTACTAATATTTTATATAAACTTTACTATACTAATATAATAAAAAAACACTTTATTATGTATGATGCCATTAAGAGCTTAATTTTTGAGTGATTCCAGTTTTGTTAAAAAGCCTTACACTTACAATTTATAGGCTATATTTTTTATTTACTGCGGACGGAGTCGCTGGCAAAAGCCAATAACTATAAACATATTTATAATGTTGACTGTACTGAATTAAAGTTAGTTTTTCATGTAAAATACCAGAAAGTCTTTAAGAAAACATATAGAACTAGCTTTCGCCTGCGACTCCATCTGCGTGGAATTAAAGAACAAATGTGTAAAAAAAAGCCTATGTGTTCTTCCATACTATCTTCTACCTCTATACTAAATTTCATCGAATTCAGCTGTTTCGGCTATAAACTCTAACAAACATCCATCCATCTAAACTTTCATATTTATAATATTATAATAAGAAATAATCTTACTAATCTTACTAATATTATAAATGCGAGAGTTTAGATGGATGGATGGATGGATAGATGGATAGATGGATGGATGGATGGATGGATGGATGGATGTTTGTTAGCGTTTGTAGCCTAAACGGCTGAACGGATCTCCATGAAATTTCGTACAGGTTTAGAGCATAGTCTGGAAGAGCACATAGGCTACTTTCTATCCCGGGAATAGTTACGGTTCCCGTGGGATTCATTTATTTAGTTTTTTAATGTTTACTCGATCATTCTGTAACGGTTCAACATATCTTATTGAAATTTGGCACAGATAGAAAACAAAGTCTAGAGTACACATGGGATAAGCTTCATCCCCGAGAAATGTCCGGTTCCCGGGATACGTAGCTTTTTGTAATTTATATAGTTTGTATATTTTCTAATACCACGCGTACGAAGTCGCGGGCAACAGCTCGTATTTAACTAAAAATACATACCTTTGTGAATCTTCACCATTGTTTTCACTATTGTTAGTAACAACCACCCTTTGTGTGTAATTATTTTCATTAATCGATAGATTCTCCATAGATTCGTGAATCCTATCTATTTCTGTGAAGAACTCTTCATCACTATCTGTTATTTCCGTATTCCTTTTTAATATAGAATCATCCAAACATATATTTTGACCACATATTTTAGTAACACTTTTCTTAGGATCACTTTGACTGGTACTAGGTAATGTTACATCCCAATTTGATATATCAATTGCTTCGGTCTCCTGTTCTGTTTCTATTTGGGTTTCTGGTTCGGTTTCGGTTGGTTCAGTTTGTTCACTGGTTTCCGGTTGTCTGGTTTGTGTGTTTAATTCAATACCTGGTACTCTGAAATTATTTTTTAATACTTTAGAGGACAAAAACAATAAGCTATTATCAAAATTATGAGATACTAGCTTTGGCCTATGTTTGTGGGTGCAATTAAAAAATAACAATAGTAGTCTATGTGTTTTTCCAGACTACCCTCTACATCTATGACAAATTTCATCGAGATCCATTCAGCAGTTTAGGATACAAACTCTAACAAACATCTATCCATCTAAACCTTCGCATTTATAATATTAGTAAGAAGTAACAGTAAATTTTTATAACCATTGGTGGTCGGTAGTTAAGGTATTATGCCCTTGACTTATAATCTACAGTTCCTGGATTCAAATCCCGTCTTATACCAATATATTTTTCTTTTTTATTTTTAAAGTAAAAATATTAGTAGATTTTTGTTAATTTACTAATATTTCCTTTAACCATTCCAACTGAGCTGTTAGCTTGTGCTAGGATATGGTTGACAGTTGAATGGCGGGATTCGAACCCTCGACCGCAAGATCGGGTAGTCCGTACCCCAAACCATTAGGCTCATGGCACTTATAGCTGTGCAGAAATACCAATATGACTATGGTATACAAACTTAGGGTAGGCTCTTTAGGGGACCTATTAAATTCTTTATAACTCACCTATCTGGAGGCACAGGTGGTGTTGGGGGTAGGGGGGAGGTGGGGTCCCGTGCCGCCGCGCGGGGGGCGGGGGCGACCGGCGCCGCGCAGTACACATTCTCACCCTTACCCAGGATCTTCAGTTCATGTAATTTGTTCCTAAGGGTGGTCACCCATTCCTGCATTGAATCCCTAAGAAGGTAACGGGTAATATAGTCACGTATAATGGGGGCAAGAAATTAAAAAAACTAGCCTATAACATTCCCGCATACATTAGCTATATTTCTGTCACAGTTTTGTCAAAATCGGTTTATCCATTCTGGAGATTATAAAGAACAAATGTAGATTTGTGGATGCACAGACAAAAAACTGTATTTAAATTCGACATTACATACAGACATTGCAATTTAATTTACTGTCCACCTAACATTATTGAAAAATAACTGAAAAAATTAAAATATTACAATGACCAACATATGAAACTAGCTGTAGCTCGCGACTTCGTCCCCGTGATAAAAAAATAATGACGAATGGTGAATGAATTTTCGAAAACAGCCCAGTAGTTTTTGAGTTATTTCAATACATACAAAAATACAAATTTTTCTTTTTATAATATTAGTATGGAAATAGATTGATCTTTTCTCTGTTTACCTAATCTATACTTCTATACTATCTATACTAATATAATAAAGCATAAACACACACTTCTTTGTTGCCTAAGATGTCTGCAATTACAGCATGCTTTTAAATATTTTTTCTTTAATAAAAAGCCCTACACTTATGTCACACTTTAGGCTATATGTTTTTCACACCAATAAACTTAGGGGGTAAATATTTGGAGTAAAACCCTTTATGTGGGAAAGACACCATAAGTTGCTGCCATCAGTAAGGAAACAAGATTGCCAAGGTACGTCATGTCATGTCAGTTTGACATTTGGTATTGATAATTAGACAAATGTAAACAATGAAATAAAACTATCATAATTTCATGCGGATGAAGCCGCATGGGACAGATAGTTTCTTATAAATTATATCAACTCACCAATCCGGAGCTAACATTCTCACAGGACCTTGGTCTGTATCTATCAGGAAGTCATATTCATCACCAGTGTGAGGTTTAACGCTGGCCGTTACATGTCTCGCTGACTTTAGACATACCCTCCATGTTGGTCGATGTGTTAAGGTTGTTGGAGAATCTGGCTCGGGATACTGTTCTAAAAACGGTGTCCGTCCATTATGTACACAGAATAATGTCCACATCGGTTTGAGTTGTTGCTTCTGAAAATTTACAAAATAGTCCAATCTCACTAATATTATAAATGCGAAAGTTTAGATGGATGGATGGATGGTTGGATGTTTGTTAGCGTTTGTAGCCTAAACGGCTGAACGGATCTCTATGAAATTTGGCACAGGTTTAGAGCATAGTCTGGAAGAACACAAAGGCTACTTTTTATCCCGGGAATAGTTACGGTTCCCGTGTGATTTATTAATTTAGTTTTTTAATGTTTACTCAATCATTCTGCAACGGTTCAACATATCTTATTGAAATTTGGCACAGATATAAAACAAAGTCTGGAGTACACATGGGATAAAGCTTCATCCCCGAGAAATGTCCGGTTCCCGAGGGATACGTGACTTTTTGTAATATACATAGTTTGTACCACGCGGACGAAGTCGCGGGCAACAGCTCGTTTCATATAAACATGAATTTAACAGTAGTATCTACAGTAGAAATTATACTGCACTAAGTAGGCACATAATAGTGTTTAATGAAAGTTTTAATAAGTTAACTGGACTTCAAATACTATGCGGTAAACACACATCGGCATATTTACGTTAAAACTCGTGTACAAATTTATAATTTTCAACTGACAATAACATATTTTTTTTTAATTTACAATTTTTTTTATTTTATATAAAACTAGCTTTCATCCATGATTCCATCAACAAAGGGAATATTAAATCAAAAGTGAATATCCTATGTGTTGTTTCAGACTATCCTCTACATCTATACCAAATTTCATTTAAATCCATTCAGCTGTTTAGGCTACAAACTCTAACAAACATCCATCCATCTAAACTTTCACATTTATAATATTAGTATGAAAGTATGATCCATCATTTAAATTAAAAGTTTATTCCCTACTAAAATAGGGTTTTAAAAAAATGTAAATTTTATAAAAATTAGATTTTGTTTACTTTTCCATATAAATACACTATAGACAACCTTCGATAGGCTTGTAAGAACATACCTTATGTGTAAGAGGCCTTAGTTTACTGTTATTAACATCATTTGGTATCCTCTTAAGGAAGGAATTCTTCTGGATTTCCCTGTAATAAACAGGACCCTCCTCTCTATTTGAAGTCATATTTTAAATATTTATCTGGAATTAAATAAACACTTTTTTATTATTTTACTTATCTTTCGAATATACGCGTGAAGTTGAAGCAATTGTGCATTTTTTCGGTCGAAATGAAAGCGAACACTGCGAAATACGAGGATAAAATTGGACAGTGTGGTGAGTCAAGCGTAAAATATGTTGAACCTTTCACAGGCAGTCTTTTTAAAGTATGTATAGAAAGTTTTATTTAAAATTATCAACACTTATATTTACACTATTATCTAAGTAAATGAAAGTAAATAAGAGGATTTGTTTTGGTAAATACTTGTGAAAATACCTGAGTCGAAGTACAGATATTGTAATAGCGATATGCTTTCAACGGTCGACCTTCATGTCGTTAACTATAGAGTTATGCACGCAATTGTTAATGATATGTATCCTTATTAATAGCAGTCTTGTAAATCACACAGCGCAAAACAAGATTTGTTTTTGACAGCATAAATTCACAACGTACACAATATGACAGATGTACCGACGCCATTCGAATGACATTCATTTTTGTTTACAGCCGATTTATTAAAGATGTGATATTTTATTTAAAAAATACATTTATTTACATTAAATTAAGCATTTTTTGTTTGTCTTCAGATTGCCTATTTAATTAAATACCATTTAACTTTAAAACTTGGCACAAATATGTTTTCCTTTCTCTATAGTTGTCTATGTACATTTCTATAACTTTATGTCACAAGTCTGACGTCTGTTGTTGTGATAAGTAACGAGAAATAGTAAATAACAGGTAAGTTTTTCACTTTTTCTTATTTCTGACAAAATGCATCCTCTTTATTTTAATGGCGTGAATTGTAAATACTATAATTGCGTGAAATAATCTCAGAATAGCGAATGGAATGTAATGATGTTATCATGATTATTATTTTTTAATTGTAGTTTCTAATCCCTCCGAGTGTGGCGTTGTAGTCGCAAGTTTTGATCACGTGACCATTTGAACCGCCAAAATATTTGTCACTTTTCGCCGTATCTTCTTTCGTCTTCAATTATAAACGGTTTTAACTTGGATTTACATAATACAAACTGTTTCTAACGTTCTTATTATCGAAGAAAACGAAGTTTTTAAGTCTTTCTAGTGCTAACAACGTGAATACTTTAATAATTTCGATATGGCAAAAGTGCATATAACCAACGTCGTCGTGCTGGACAATCCGAGTCCATTTCTTAATCCTTTCCAATTCGAATTGACCTTCGAGTGCATTGAAGAACTTAAAGAAGATTTAGAATGGAAGATGATTTACGTTGGTTCAGCTGAAACTGAGGAACACGATCAAGTATTAGACACGATTTACGTCGGACCCATACCTGAGGGTAGACACATGTTTGTCTTCCAAGCGCCACCACCTGACGTCACTCGGATACCCGAAAACGACGCATTAGGCGTCACTGTTGTGTTATTAACGTGTTCGTACAGAGGACAAGAGTTTGTTAGAGTCGGTTACTTTATTAATAATGAATACAGTGAAAGTGAACCAGAATTAAGGGAAAATCCACCAGCGAAACCTCAATTTGATAAAGTAGTAAGGAATATACTAGCATCAGAGCCTCGTGTGACTCGGTTTAAGATTAATTGGGCTGAACCTGACTCTGGAATGGCTGCGGACTCCGGAGATGCAAATCTAGAAGCTTCTCATGCCCCTAGCAATGATTCGTATGGTGCATCATTTAATGCTGATAGTCAAATTAGTGGTATGGAATTTCAAGGAAGTTTGAGTGGATATGGAGATAATTCTAACTCAATAGCACCAATGGAATGCTGAGGTTAGTATTTTACATTATTTATACATATAACTTATGCTGGAGTGTCAATGGCGTGGTGGAACAGTATTTCCAAACCAGTACTACTTAGAGTCCTTCAAGAAGTGAGCATACAATTTCCTCAAAGGTTGGCAACGCATCTGTAGTTCCTCTGGTGTTGTGGATGTCCATGGGCGTTTTTGGCCAGCTCTCTTATAAAAAAAAGTTAGGCATTTAATCAGCAGGTCAGGTTTGGGACCTGCCATGTACCAATATGCTTTGCAGTGTGGTTGACAAAAGCCTAGTTTCTAATTTAGAGTAGGGACTTAGCTGAATATTGTTTTCTAACATTATATCAGGCAGTTATAAAAGTCAATATTTGTGTAGACAATTAAATAATAACTTCACAAGAAATGAACTGAAGAAGAGTATTATAAAATTATTTTGCTGTTCAAAAGCTACATTATTACTAAGGCATATAAGCTATAATTATTATTTTTAAATTCTAAGTATAGAAAGACACTGTTTAACTATTGTTTATTAGTATATATTGATTTATATATGACAATATTAATTTTCATTCTACCTTCATTTCAGATTATGTTAATTAAATAAACAACAAGAAAAGCAATATGATGTACAGAGAATATGGGTCTGAAAACATGCAAGAATAAATCTTTCATTACTAAGATTCTGTGAATAATGGGTTTAAAATAATGTGTCTAAATATTGAAGAAATTAATGGATTTATTATCAATATAGTGTTAGAGGAGGACACAGTTGAGCGACTGCCCAGTGTGCATTTGAAAAGGGTGCTAGGTCTCCAATAACTCTTACCTATCCCTTCTCCTATTTCTTTTTTTAATGATTTGTAGACCCCATCATTCTTTTGATGATGATTCTCCTACTTAGACATTATAAAATAAAAATCACTGCTGAAATCTTGCTTAAGGCATCAGTAGACCTAAAACCGACACTGATTAGATATTAACATAACATTGGCTTGAATTATTGAGCTGTAGCTCGACCACTACAACAGATCATAGCTCATTGTACAATAACTGTGATCTGAGCCACAATTGTGGTGACTTGCTTGCTGTTCATTGAACTAGGGTTGTAACGGAACTCCGCTTCCGCATGTGTTACTTCTTATGCTTTTCTGAGGTTAATTTACGTTTTTAACGCGCCGTGATAAGTAAACTAACTATAATTGTTATACATTATATTTGCATAATAAACTGTATCTTGTAATTATGTACCAATCTGTATTTTGAATTAACATAGTCTTAGTTTTTATTTCTTTAATAAATCGCAATTAACATTTTATTATTGACCTCCGCTTCCGCGTCCTTTAATCTCCGCTTCTGCAGAGGTGAAGCCCTTCGCCTCCGCGTCCGCATCCGCTTCCGTTAAAATGGCCTCCGTTACAACCCTACATTGAACTGATCTGTGAATGGATTCAATGATCTTCAAATGTGAACTGATCTACAAGTCATTCATTTTAGTAGAGTTACCTATTTTATATTCTTAAATTTTTGTTTGTTTAACGGGAGAGGGGATAGCTAGGGGAATTATCTTTCGAATAATCCTATTTTCTGTCATTTTCAAATAAAAGGGATATTGTCTAACTAATGTAAATGTCTACACAACAGTCGCTTCGCCATTCTGGCGAATTTCATTGACCTCTTGCTTCTCACTTTATTTTAGAAAATTGTTTTGTCTTATGTAGCCCATTTAACTTTGGTATTAAGAATTTATGTTAAGTTATTTCTTATGTACAGCAAAATAAGATGTAAATATATAAAATAAGGAGATTTTTTGTTTTTAATAATTTGATCTTTGGTATATATGTGAAAAATCTTGTAATTTGAAAGCTGCCTTAGTAACATTATATATAATTGAAGATAAATTGTGGTGATTTTTTAGATTGTGAATCTGTACTTTTTAACAAATTTATCCTGCTCTCATTTCTATAGAGAGAGCACAATATATATTGCTTCTATGCTATAAAAAAATAATTTATAACACAGCTACACTCATATGGGAACTTTCGGTGTTGGCACCGACCAGTTTCAGACCTGTCGGGGGTCCTTCTTGAGTGGTTACTGTAACTTGTGCCTACACCGAAAGTTCCCATGTGAGTAGCCATATTATAAATTATATAGTATAATGTCTCAGTTTTAATAAGTTAATAGCTATAAAAATTGTTTGAAATAATTCTATATTTTGTGAACATGTCCACTGAAAACCATGTTCAAAAGCAATTTATCCCCGTTTGAAAATATTTGCTCATAAATGGGTACCAAATTTAATTCTTTGACAACATGTCCTGTACACACTACTAAAACAATGCCTTAAACAGATATTTAATGTTCTTAGTGTTTGTTAGTTTTTAAAAATTTTGTAAAAAATGTATTAATAAATGATGAATTCATAATATGTGATTTTTATTAACAAGAGGTTTAGTTATGAGAGTGGGGATAATAAGAGGTAGACCTAGAAAGAGATAGATGGATGACTCCTATCTTTACTAATATGAAGATTTGGATTTTTGTATATATTTGATTTACCTAAAAACTACTGGGCCGATTTCAAAAATTCGCTATTAGATAGCTAATTTATCCGTGAGTAACATAGGCTATTTATTTTAACACTCATCAGACGAAACGCGGAATTGCTTCCACTTCACGCCTGTTATCTGTGTAGTCGTGATATTGCTGGGACGAGCCGGCCCATTCGTGTAAAGATGTTAAAGCGGGCTCTACCACTGTTACTATCTATACGTTACTAATATTGTAATAGTTTTGATAAGTGTTTGTAGCTAAAATTGCTGAACAAATCTTGATGAAATTCTGCATAGATGTAGAGGATAGTCACTAGTATGGGATACTTTTGAGAAAGATAGTCCATAGTAATATTATAAAGCGAAAACATTTATATATTTTTATGTAATGAAATAACTCAAAAACTACTATGCCAATTTTAAAAATTCTTTCATCCTTGGAAAGGAAATTTATCTCTGAGTAACAGGCTATATTTTAACGCGGGTGAAGTCGCGAGCAACAGCTAGTCAACTGTAATTATGATTCATGGTTCAATTGTATTCTTATTGACCTTTAGCTGTGATATTCTAGTATTAATAGGTTGACATTTTATATTATAACAGCGAGTTTTCATTGTCCAAAACATGTATAGAAACACGATCTGTCGCCCGCAAACTTCACTAGCGCAAATTTGGACCACCCTCTACGCCATTTTGACATCGCGGAATTTAAAAAAGCAGCCTATAACATGGCCGTCTATGTCAGCTACCCTTCAGTGAAAGTCCAGTCGAAATTGGCCCAGTCGTTACGGTAGTTACCCGGAACAAACACGGCTTGCGGACAGACAGACAGATAAAATTTTAAATGCGATTTTCTTTATCAGCTATCATACCACATCTTCCCGGAATCTGGAATTTTTCTATTCAATTACAAACAGACACTTCAATATTATTATATGTATAGATAGAAGATTGAGGTTATGATTTGATACTTGTTTTAAGGCGTGGCTTATTGTATTGTATTCTGAATGCTTCAGTTGGCCTTCTACAATGCTTTATCTCTTAATTACTTGTAAATAAAGACAGTTATGAAGTATTATCTTATGTACACTCGGATAACCATTATTTATGTATTATTATGGATAAGTCCCGAAATTGTGTTAATTCCCTGTTCTTTACCATCTACTATTAAGTTCTGTCAGATTGTGTAACTAGTGAGATTCTTAAATGGCATTATCAAAGTAAATGTTACTTATGTAGCAAAAGTTTAGATGTATGGATGTTAGTTACAATTTGTAGCCTAAACGACTTAACGAATCTCGATGAAATTTGGCAAAAATGTAGAGGATAGCCTGAAAGAACACATCAACTAATTGTTTTTGTTTCTTTAAATTCCGCGCGGACGGAGTCGCTTGCGAAAGCTAGTGTTTAATCATGTGGGAAGAGGAAGTAAATGACGATGGAAACGTATAATCCATCCCGGATTTCCTTACCCCCGTCTGAACCTTCCAGAAAAAGGTGTTAAATTCTCTTTGTGTCTTGTTTCTCTGTCCGTTAAATGTAGGCATGGTATTCTTTTAACACATTGCATGTGTACCAAGAGGTCAGGTGGTGTGTTTAATTGTTTAAAAAACATGTCCTGAAATAAGCTTTTTTATGGTGACACTATTAACAAAGGGCTGGTATGATTAACTAGCCAATAAGATGTTTGACTTGAAGTAAACAGTTGGAAAATCCTTTTGTTTGTATTAGTTTTTTCTACATATAACGTTTTCCGCGTTTTAATTTTTGTTCTGTACTTTTATTCTGTGTTTTCGTTAAAAACTGCGAAGAGTTGACGTGAGTGTGATTATTTGTTATATAATTTGCATTTTAATATCGTTGAAATATTCTGCGTACAATATTATCAGAAAAAAGTTATAATACAACGACCTGTGTTATCTTAGATTTTTATTAGTGATGTTACTTGATTGATTAATTGGAAATATATCGATACATTTTCAAATTCATAAATAAAAATGATGCATCTAATTCTTAGAAAAAATGCAAGCATAACATAACAAAGAACATTATTACACACTTCAATCGACTTTTTGTTATAATTTTTTTAGTACGCAAAGAAATAATATGCTTATTTTGACGGAATAGGGCCAGGATTTTTACATTTCTGGTCGAGCTATCTTTACATATAATAAAATTGGAGTGTCTGTTTGTAATATTAAAAAAAAAATCCAGATTTCGTGAAGACGATTTATTTGCGTTGCTGATAAAAATCACATTTAAATTTTTTTGTCTGTCTGTCCGCAAGCCGCGTTTGTTTCGACAGGATTTTCACTGGAGGGTAGCTAACATAGACGGGCATATTATACCCTACGATTTATATTAATATTGCGTGGACAAAGTCGCGGATAGCAGTACTAAATAAACTTATGAATCTTTATAACAGTCATTGCCTTGGTCTGTCAAGGAATAAAATCGTAGCCTATAAATCTAGTTTTCATACAAAATAAAGACATTGTGATCGAATACAAAAAACGTAAGTGTTTCACAATCACAATGTACAAGCGATTTTAAGTTTAAAAGACTAAGAATAAAGTTCAATTTGGTTTATTATAGAAATTTAAGTACTTCCACTTGTCCAATAAAGTTTTCGTTACGCTGGTCAATGTTACGGACTCGGGACAGAGTAATTTTCTATAGTGATGTTTTCCATTGTCGATTTTTTTGTAACTAGAGATTCATAATCCTTCCTTTGTCCCTACGTAGTGTCACAGTATTTACTACTTTTCTATACATCTTTGTCTACCATTATATGTAAATTGACTTTCGGAATTTTCTCTTTGTAGAGTTCAATTCATGAATTATTTTTTTCTTTTCTCCTGTGAAAGGAGGATAATTTATTGAACTGAAAAGTTTGATATACTATTTTTTATTTTTAAATACCATAAATTGAAACTGGTAATAAATTAGTCTATTGGGTAAGAAAAGACTGATGTATAAATGCATCATCGTGCATTTAGGGGTTAAGATGTCGATATCGATAAATGTCTATAAACTAAAAACATTTCATATCGATAATAGAGTCGGGCACAACACTAGCAAATGTCATTTCGCATTCAGTTTGCGTTTACATTTTCGTTGACGTTGAATATTTTCGAACGAAAAATGTTAGCATCTCCTCGTTCATTTGGGATCTTACTATGTTTTTAACGTGTTTTTTATTTAAAGTGATTATGGTGTAAGTTTTTTTCCTTTTTTTTTACATTTTCTTTTGTAAGAAATATAACTTTTGTATAAATATTTAAATTGTTAAAGCTGTCATCATGAAATGTTACTTTTAAATTCATAGACAATTTTATAGTAAAGAGTTTAGTGCCATAAAATACATATCTATTGATTTTATATTACTACACAAAAAAGAAAAAAATTGTTCTACCCCAAAGGCAGAACTAGAGTCCAGTCGAAATCGGCCCAGCTGTTTCGGAGATTACCCGGAACAAACGCGGCTTACGGAAAGACAGACAGACAAAAAAAATGCAATTTTCGTTATCAGCAACGAAAATACATCTTCCCGAAATCTGAAATTTTTCTTTTGATACTACATACAGAAACTCCCATTTTATTATATGTATAGATTTGTCACAGATGTAGAATATAGTCGGGAAGAACACAGGCTACTAATAAAGTTTTTTTTTTTAAACTGTTAATAATAAATGACATATCTATTTTTCAGGTATACAGCAGCGAATGCAGCTACATTAACAAATAGTTCAACAATACACTCCAATATGACGCTGCAGCGTTTAACAGCGCTTCGAGCTCTCATGGCAAGTCAACCGACAGCGCTGTCTGCGTATATTATACCGACCGCAGACGCACATAACGTAAGTATATTCTATACTAATATTATTAAGAGGAAAGATTTGTATTTTTGTATTCAAAATAACTCAAAAACTACTGGGTATTTTAATAATTCACCGTTAGAAAGATAATTTTTCTTATTTCACGGCGGGCGAATTCGCGTGTAACAGCTAGTATGTAATATACCAAAAAACTTGAGCATGTAAGCACTTTTTTGCAGTCCGAATATATCGCATCAGTGGATGCCCGTCGGGAATGGATATCAGGATTCACGGGTTCTGCCGGCACTGCTTTAGTAACATCTTCGCATGCACTAGTCTGGACTGATGGGAGATATTACACCCAATTTGAGAAGGAAACGGATAATACGCTGTGGACATTAATGAAGATGTGTGAGTAAATCTGTTAAATAATAGCTTCCGCCCGCGACTCCGTTTGGGTAGTATTGATAAAAACAAAAGAAAGTAGCCTATGTGTTCTTCCAGATTATCCTCTACGTCTATGTTAAATTTCATCCAGATCCATTTAGCTGTTTAGGCTACAAATTCTAACAAACATCCATCCATCTATCCAAATTTACATTTATAATATTAGTTTGAATATTTTCATTGTATGGGCGTCACAGCCATGTTATGCTTTAATAAAATATAGTCTTCTTTACCTCTTATGTTTTCTTCCAATTTGCACAGAATAACCTTACCAATATGGCCGTCGTGTCGTCGAGATAATGCAACACCATTATTTTGACATCCGACTACTATCCGATTATTAACATAACAAGCACAATTACGACATTTTAAAACCACATAAACATTTTAAATAATGTTTGGGATCACAATTACAAAGCTTATATCGTTATTTCAAATTATGACAAATGGTATTGATTTATAGCACAGACTAATAACCGTCAAGAATACAGAATACGTCAAAATAATTAAAAAGCTAACAATTGTAATATTCATTTTATTTGAATTTAAAAATGTCTATGTTGAATATACTATTTGTATGTTTGTCAGCATTGACGGAAACTTTGACGATGGAGAAATGGTTGACAACAAATTTAGTTGAAGGGTCAGTTGTTGGGGCAGATCCGAAAACGATGAGCAGAGATGAATGGACGCCATTACAGGTGACTATAAACTATACTAATATTATAAAGAGGAAACATTTGTATTGTATGTATCGAAAAAACTCCAAAACTACTGGGACGATTTTAAAAATGCCTTTACTATTAGAAAGGTAATTTATCTGTGAGTAACATGGGCATATTTTTGTAAAGTAACGCGGGCGAAGTCGGGAGCAACAGCTAGTTTAAAATATACATCGAAATACAAAAAATATATAAAGATGAATTAAGAACTTTCTACTTTTGGATTTTCGGTTAATAAATCGAAGTCGCTTCTAACTGTCTATATGTATACTGAATTATAGAATATAGAGTGATTCAAGAAAAAAGTTTATTATATCTATATTAATATTATAAAGAGAAAATAATCGTATTTTTGGATTCTGATATGTATTGAAATAACTCAAAAACTACTGGGTCGATTTCAAAAAATCACCATTAAAAGATACGTAATCGGTAAGTAATATAGGCTATATTTTTAATTTCAAGCGAACGAAGAAAACTAGTTTGTAATATAATAGCTGTTGCTTGCGACTTCGCCTGCGTAAAATTAAAAAATACAGCCAATGTTACTTATAGATAAATTATCTTTCTCATGGTGAAAGAATTCTTGAAATTATCCCAGTAGTTTCATGAATCGAATGCATACAAAAATACAAATCTTTCCTCTTTATAGTATTAGTATAGAAAATGACAATTTTATAGGTTTCTATGATGTAATTAAACCAATAAAAAAAACTATAAGTTACTATTTGAGTTATTTTTCAATAATAATGTATTATTTCAGACAGCTTTGAAAAAAGCCAAAATGGAATTAATAGCGGTTCCTAACAATTTGGTTGACCAAGTGAGGGTTCAGACGAAAGATGCTCCTCCGAGAAGACCGCATAATGAGATTCTACCACTGCATGTTAAATATACAGGTAAGTTAGAATACTGCGTCTACTGGCTTGTACACACTTGAATACTGGCATAGAGAAATTCTTCCAGGTAAAGCTTCCGGTAAGAAGATAGAAGAATTAAGAGAGAAGATGAAGGAGAAGAAAGCGTCTGCGTTGGTTATAACCGCATTAGACGAAGTTGCGTGTAAGTAACTGCTGCATTTAGAATTATTACTAGCTTTCGACCGCGACTCTGTCCGCGTGGAATTAAAAAAAGTAGCCTATGACTTCTTCCAGACTATCCTCTACATCTATGACAAATTTCATCAAGATTTGTTCAGCAGTTTAGGCTACAAACTCTAACATCCATCTAATCTAAACGTTCTCATTTACAATATTTAGGGTCTGTCCCACCTCTGGCTGATAGAGTCTCAGATAGCTTAAATACAACGTTACTGTCAGATAATGTAACAAAATCCGATATTTCCATCACACATTTTACATGTTGGATTGTTATCAAACAATTTACAATTTGGTGGGACAGGCCCTAAGATATATAGATTAAAAAAACACTCTTTTTATTGATTACTAGCTTTCGCCCGCGACTATTCGCGCGAAATTAAAAAATAACAAACGTGAGTAGCCTATGTGTTGTTCCAGACTATCCTCTACATCTATACCAAATTTTATTAAAATCCGTTCAGCAGTTTAGGCTACAAACTCTAACATCCATCTAAACTTTCGCATTTATAATATTAGTATGATTTACACAAGACATATCTTTCAGATACATTAAATCTACGTGGTAGTGATATACAATATAATCCCGTCTTCTTCTCTTACTTGGTGATCACCACCAGCTCAGCAAAGCTGTTCTGGGGTGATGGGACACTCTCCCAATTGGTGATAGACCATTTAACTTCGGAAGGTGCGACAGTGCAATGTAGACCCTATGATAGTATCGTGGAATATCTACATGAATTGGCTGTAAGTGATCTTTTAAATACTAGGAAAACACTCGATTTTGCTCGTTTTAGGATATAGACTAGATACAAAACATGCGAACTAGTTAAATAACAAAAAGCTATCCCACGGGAACCGGACATTTCTCGGGGATGAACCTTATCCCATGTGGACTCCAGACTTTGTTTCATATCTGTGCCAAATTTCAATAAGTTATGTTGAAGCGTTGCAGAATGATCGAGTAAATATTATAAAACTATATTAATGAATTCCACGGGAACCGTAACTATTACCGGGATAAAAAGTAGCCTTTGTGTTCTTCCAGACTATGCTCTAAACCTGTGCCAAATTTCATGGAGATCCGTTCAGTAGTTTAGGCTACACACTCTAACATCCATCCATCCATCTAAACTTTTGCATTTATAATGTTCTAGAAGGATATTCATTTACGAATTGTTTTCTAGAAAGAACTATCGGAAAGCGGAGATGGCTCCCACGCTATTTGGTTGTCAAGTGATGCAAGCGAAGCTATACATAGGGCTTCTGCTGGGGTAAGTTATAACGCCTGCCACCAGAGGGGTAGGCAGAGATCGTACTTTCTCTTCGTCCACCTTATTCTTTGTCCCTCATTCTCTTTGACAAAATTGAGATATGTAAAAACTACATAAATCAGTTATTTTCTCGATTATTTTAATCAATTTGAGGAAATGTTACATCACTTTAGACATCACATACGATGTGGAACTTTTCTTAATATGAGATCTTATGAGTAAGGTGACTCATTTCATTTGGTGAGTTTTTGAGTTATGGAACTATGTGTGTGATCTTTTGAGTTAAGTTACTCTATCATATGAGATCTCTTGAGTTAAGTAATGGGGATGTTTCCTAATGTTACAAATTCAAATAAAGTTATGTTTAATATTTTAAAGACAGCATTTTAAAACCTATAATAACAGTTGGAGACCTTAAATGTTTGTCTCCATTGAAATATAAATTAAAAACGCTGCAATATTTTTTACCCTCCATTACTCGACCTCAAGCACCAATGACGTCACTTTCTCGCATATAACATGGCAGTGTGACCAACTTCAGTGAATGTCAGCGCATTTTGTAGTTATATTTTTTTTTAATGATTATAAGAATTGAGTTTTCGTGTGTTATATTATGAGGACTCCATTATTAAGTGTTTTTATACTTACGACATATTTTACGAGCAAATTTTTCGATCACTATGACGAAAAAAAAAATAGTAAAAGTTATTTGAATAGCTAATTCAATTTACGTCTGGTCTCTTTGAATGACTTTGACAGACCGCGACGCGAGGTTTGTTAGCAAAGAAGTGACGTCATGTCATGAGGCGTTTTCGCGGTCTTTCGAGAAGTTGTTTTTAGTTAAGTGTTTTTGTAATTAAATGTTGCGTATATGATTTTATTATATTTTTTTTCTTGTTTAGATATGGTTTATCTACATAATAAAAGCAATTCCAAAAATTAGGAAACATCCCCATTCTGACATGTGAGATCTTTTGAGTTAGACCACTGTCATATGAGATCTCTTGAGATATATTATTATTTTCCTGTTGTGTGATTTCTTTAGTTTACTAACTCTTTTCGTCGTATATGATGATCGTTTTTTTATTTATTTTGTTTTACAGGAGACAGTTTTGAAGAAACCATTAGATTTAATATCGGAAGTATCTCCGGTGGCATTGACTAAGTTGATTAAAAACGAGGTGGAATTACAGGTATTGTTATTTTATTCGTTAAATTAAATTAAATTGATTATGGGCTTGTTTATTTTTTTAATGAAATATAAAAAAAAGCATTTTCAATTTCCAACTCGCCGATTTTTATGCTTTTTCTTCATAGAATTGATATTACTGGCCAGTTTGATGTCTGTGTTTTTACTCTTTGACAATTAGCTGTCAAAAAGGATGACGGTTGACATATTCAACCTTTTTGGGATGTTTTAAATACATCCAAAAATGTTGTAAATTTTGTACATATTTTTGTATGTTTTCTTGCAGGGTTTTCGTAATTGTCACGTCAAAGATGGTATAGCCGTGGTCAGATTCTTCAAATGGCTCCACGAAGAGATTGGAAAAGGCTGTACAATAACTGAAATACAAGCTGCTGATAAGCTTTTGGAATTTAGATCGTGAGTAGGCGTTTTTTTGCCCGACTGATAGGAGGGTATTTTTTATGTTTATTAGTCTATGCATAGTTCTATTTAAGACCAACCGAAATGTAAGTGTAGACGATTATGTTTTAGTCACACTGAGGGCAGGATTATGTTTTAGTCCGACTAAGTGGACCATTATGTTTTAGCTCGACTAAGTGTTACATTGTGTTTTAGCCTGACTTAGTGGACGATTATGTTTTAGCCCGACTTAGTGGACGATTATGTTTTAGCCCGAGTAAGTGTTACATATTCTTTTAGCCCATCTGTTTGGAGTATTATGTTTTAGCATGACTTAGTGGACGATTGTGTTTTAGCCCTACTCAGTGGAGCAATGTGTTTTAGCCTTAATGATTGAATTATTGTATTTTTATTTAATAATTAATATGTGTTTCAGTGAGGAAGAAGATTTCTTAGGTCCATCATTTGAGACTATAGCAGGTGCCGGAGAAAATGGTGCTATTATACATTACAGCCCTTCTAAAGGGGGTGAGCAGAGGGTCATAGGCGTTGATGACATGTTTCTATTGGACTCTGGTGGACAGTACAGGTAAAAAAAATATAGAAATCTGTTATAATGAAATTAAAGGAGACGATAATATTTGTAATTTATAGTTTTTATAAACAACTAGCTTTCGCACGCGACTTTAGTTTAGTTTTATTTGCAACATATAAGGCATGTCCCAACACTGGCTGATAGAGGCTCAGATAGCTTTAAAACGTCACTGTCAGATAAGGCAACAAAATCCGATATTTCCATCACATATTTTACACGTTGGATTCAGATTTACAATTGGGTGGGACAGATCCTTAGGGAATTTAGAAAAAAATTGGTAATTTCTTGTTTATTGCTAACTATAAACTGACAGGCGCCTTATAAAATGCCATAAAATCCCTTTAAGTATTTTAACTGACAGATTCCTTGATTGTACAATATAATGAAGTTTTGTTTTTTTTTGTGTTTTTTATATAGAGATGGTACAACCGATATAACTCGTACACGTCACATGGGTGTGCCCAGCGCTGGGCAAAAAGATGCATTTACAAGAGTATTGAAGGGTCAAATAATGGTGGGCAGTTCTGTATTCCCACAAGGGGTTAAGGTTAGTTATGTTAATTTACTAGCTGTAGCTCGTGACTTCGCCCGCGTTAAATAAAAAAATATAGCCTATGTCACTCACATATATATCTTTCTAACGGTAAAAGATTTTTTTTAAATCTGTCCAGTAGTTTTTGTGATATTTCAATGTATACAAAAATGTACTTCTTTCCTCTTTATAATATTAATGTTTATACATATGTATTAACGAAAGAAATATGGAAAAATTCCATATATCCCACAGGAATCTAAAAATCAATGATGATTTGTAACCCATGTATTTTAGATTTTGATTTATCTGTGCCTTTCAGATATGATATTTTCAAAAATTGCATTTATCAAATAAATATGATAAAACAAAATTAATGTATCCCACGGGAATTGTGATTATTTAGGAAATGAAAAGTATCCTATATGTTCTGCCAGATTACCTACATGTGACAAACATGGAGATCCGTTCAGCAGTTTAGGATACAAACTCCAACATCCATCCATCCATTTATATTGTTGCTTTTATATCAGTAAGATCTTATACTTTTCACCTCCTTAAGGGTTGAAGGAGATATCCCTGACAACCCTTATATTTTCCCTTATTTTTTATCCATACATCCATCCATTAATATTGTTGCATTTATAATATTAAAATAAATCCATTATTTTGTGCCTCTTTAAGGTTGAGAGATTTCCCTGACAACCCTTTTTTATCGTTGTTAAACAGTTTTGGAGATGGATATCCATTCATTTTTTTCCCAGGGCAATGTATTAGACAGCTTCGCTCGCCAGCACCTGTGGCTTGCTGGACTGGACTACGCGCACGGCACTGGCCACGGCGTGGGCCACTGTCTCAACGTGCACGAGGGGCCCTCCGGAGTCTCCTGGAGACCCTACCCCCACGACCCCGGCCTTCGCCCCCGACAGATACTCAGCAATGGTAAGTATATACAATTTCTTCAACCCTTGACACTCCTTAGGATGTTGGCAGTGGTCTTAAAAATACTATTTTTTTATTTCAGAGCCCGGATACTATAAGGTGGGGGAGTACGGCATCAGACACGAGGATCTGGTGGAAATCATCTCCATCACCAAGGAATCTGATCATCCCAGGGTAAGGTCCAATTGTTGAAATTAAAAAAAATAGAAATTAAGTGCGGTTAATAATTTATTTTTTATCTGTTTTAGATTAAGAAATTTATATAGCCTATGTTACTCATTAACAATGTAGCTTTTTATGTTGAAAGAATTTTTGAAATCGGTCCAATATTTAAAAATTTCAATACATACAGAAGCAAATCTTTCCTCTTTATATTTACATAGATGCGTTAATTAATAAAATTAGTTTTTGCAGTTTCTTTGATAGTTTTAGCGATTTTTCGTAAAAAGTCGAAAAAAGTATGTTGTCTATGGTCTACTGTTGTATAGTCTATGATCATTTGTCTGGTCTGTTGTTCTATAGTCTATGAAGACGATGATACAGGTCTATCTATACTATTATAATAAAGCGTAAACACACACTTCTTTGTTGCCTAAGATGTCAGCAATTACACCATATTTTTGAATAATTCTTTATTTAATAAAAAGCTCTACATTTACGTCATGCTTTAGGCTATATATTTTTAGGCTATTAACTTAGGGGGTAAATATTTTGGATAAAAACCCTAATGTGGGAAAGAGACCATAAGTTCCTGCCAAAATTGAAGCAAGGTTGTCATCATGTCATGTCATTTTGACATTTTCAATTAATAATTTGACAAATGTGTAATAAACAACAAAATGAAACTTTTATGTCATGCGGATGAAGTCGCACGAGAACAGCTAGTTCTTATATATTCTATGATCGGTTGTCTATGGTCTATTTGTCTATGGCATGTGTTGTCTGTGCGCAGGCGCGCGGTCTGCTAGGTGACTTCGAGGGTCGCGGCGCGCTCGCCTTCAGCACACTCACGCTGGTGCCGCATCACAAGGAATGCTTGGATATCAATCTGCTTGATGATTTTGAGGTATTTATAGCTTTTTTTTTATAACATAGGTGGCAAACGAGCAAGCGGCCACCTGAATCCGCCAAAATGGCGAAGCGACCGCTACCCATAGACATCCGCAATTGCAGATGCGTTGCCTACCCTTATTTGACAGAGGAGGAGATGCACATAAAGAGGATATTTCCCCTTCCTATGTATCTCCTCCTCCGTGAAATCCACTTTCCCTTCCCATCCTCTACTTATAAGAAAAGGGTGGTAAAGAGAAAGGGACTCAAATTAGGCCTCCGGCTCCACACTCATCGGACTGTACACGGAATTGCTTCCACTTCACGCCTGTCTTGTGTGGTCGTGGTATTACTGGGGGCGAGCCCTGCACTGCTAAGATGTTAAAGCGGGCACTACCACTGGTAAATTATTAGCTAGGTCCGTGTGAAATTAAAAAGAAAGTGGGTAGTCTATGTGTTCCAGACTATCCTCTACATCTATACCAAATTTCATTGAAATCCGTTCAGCAGTTTAGGCTACAAAACTCTAACAAACATCCATCTAAACTTTCACCTTTATATTAGTAAGACTAATTTAATATTGACGTCTACAGATGATTGGTAAGGGTTGGGGTAGATAGTAAAAATATTTTTATTGTTATGTCAGCACAAAATATCTACAGCGAATATGAGATTTCGAATTAAAAATTATGAAAAACGAGTTCGAATTTAATTCTTTTTATTATGTTTTCATTGCTTAATTGTTTTTTCTTATATTTTTAAGATGCTAGATGCTAAAATGAGTTACATGTAAAACAAGTTTAAAAATCTTCGTTTCAAAATTCAGATAATAGATGGCGCTATTTCATATATTAGAAACCAGTTTGTTCATTGTAATTTTATAGTTCTTAGTAAGATAATAGATGGCGCTTTTCATTTCTGAAGCGTATGCCTTTTAAAGTTTTATTGCTTATTTCCAGGTATCCTACATAAATGCCTACCACGCCCGAGTGCTGAACACTTTAGGTCCTATTCTTGAAGCTAGAAACCTAAGTGAAGACTACACTTGGTTGAAGGAGCAATGTGCGCCCATTGTTAAGTAACAGGTGAGTTTTAAACCCTGTTTCCACTAGCGATACTGTTTTTTTATAAGCAAGTTATATATAACTGGCTGTTGCACGCGACTTCGTCCACTTGAAGATAAAAAAATATAGCCAATGTTACTTACAGAATTGTACTAAAAAAAATTGGGGGAAACCAAGAATTTATAAAATTTCATGTTTTTTGTTTCAGATTCAAGTTAAAAACGTCCCAATGCAAGCTTTTATGGATATTGATAACATTTATATGCATTTTTAATATTTGTTAAGTGTATATAATTTTTTTAATAAATTTATAACTGCAGTAATGTTTTATTTTTACCTAATTCACGAATTTTTACCAAAAAATTAGTTAGTATAAGTTATGTTAACTCTTATTGGATAGTGTGACGAAAAACTAATTAAAAAAAGATTACTGAAGTAGTTTAGAAAAAAATACGTGAAATTTTGATTTTTGTGTGTTCGTAACATATATTTTTTGCCACAAAATACTCCGTCTAATTAAGGTTTAAGCTCCTCGATAGAATAGAAAATTCTTACAAATTATGCCTTTGAAGTTACCAAAATTTTCTCAACTTTGTATCTTAGGACTTGTCCCACCACTGGGTGATAGATACTCAGAAAGCTTAAAAATGACGTCACTGTCAGATAAGGGAACAAAATCCAATTATCAGACAATTTACAATTTGGTGGGACAGGCCTCTAATCTCGTAGTCAGGATTTACGTTTTTTTATAATAGTGTTTCTTTTTTTGGGGTAAAGGAATTAAAAACTACAAAATTAATATATTCTCATTTATATCTTTGATTAGAAAATACATTTTTAATTCATAATTGAAAATACATTCTTACATTTATAGATACAGATTTGTCTTGCATATAAAATAAAGGACTTATCAATTATTTAAAAATTAATGTATTCGACATTAAAATATAACTAATAATAGATTTATAACCTATAGATAACAAAGAGCATAAAACGTAGGATTTTTGCTGACGTAAAATATCTTTGTTGCCATTTTTAATGCAAAACGACTATTGAATGTCTCAAATGTCAAACTTTTACATTATCTATAGATTACAGATCCAAATAATTGTGCTAAATACGCTTATCAGATTGTACCGATAAAAAAATAATTGGATAAAAATAGAATGGTAACTATGGTTAATTTTAAAAATAACTAAAACATTCGAGTAACTGGTGAGTGGAATATTAAACTAAGGTAAATTTAAAGACAAACTATAAATAATAAATTCGTTTACATGTCAATGTCAAATGTTTACTAATGATGTGAAATAAATAACGTATTAAATAACTGCTTTAAGTTATTTTAAATAATAACGCTACAAGCAGCTAATTTTAACGCTGAGTACTTTTGATTAATAAAATTAAAGCTACCTAACAGCAGATAATAAATACAATAAAATCGACATAAATTAATCTAAAATGTCTGAGGTTAAAATTCAAAATAAAATCTTATATCAATGGACCCTATAATTTTAGGAAATCGATATTTTTTTTAACATTTTGTGATGGTTTTTGAGATTATAAGACGTAGAATTGACGATTTTAAATTCAGCAATATTTAATTCAGGCTTTTTCTTCTATATTTTGTTGCATTCTTTCTGCTTTTTTTCTTCTACTATGAATAAATGGGACGAAACCCCAAAGCGCTGCACCGCTACAGAGAATCAAGCCTAAAGTGACAAATAAAGATTTATATGAATGTGTATATTCAAACCATATACCACATACAGGGGGTCCTATAAGTTGCAAAATGCCGTTCACAAACAAACTAATTCCATACGAAGACATCAATCTCTCAGTACCGAGCATTTCAGTCATCACAAGTGCTGTCACCCCAACGTTAATACCAGAAGCGATACCGAATATCGAACAAAAAACGCTTATAGCTAAATAACTCTGCATTAACGGTATCATAGCTAAACTGATACCGGATATCAATAAACCGGTTATGAAAAAATAACGTTTAGGAGTTGATACAACATCCGATATAGCGGAACCTCCGATCCTACCGACTAAATCTAACGCGGATATAATTGACAATAAATAGGCGCCTAAAGATTTATCAAAACCACATTCGACCGCGTAAGATGGAACAAGGATAATGAAATTCGTATACGATATAGCGCAAGTACAATTCGATATTAAAATAACTAGATATATCGGATCTTTTAGTAATTGGACATCGAAGTATTTACTAGGTTCCTTTTTGATATTATCATCAGTTTTCTTCCTACATCCACAGCAGTATGTTATTGGCGCAAGACTATCTGTAACTGATTTTAAACTGAATTGTGAAGCGAATTCGCTCGGTTTCTCGAACGCTGAAAGTGTTGAACCATGGAAAGGTGTAGACATGTATTGAAAACTTGATGTTGATGGGCTTCTTTTCGGTGTTTTCGGTACTGTTAGTTTCCTACCAAAAGTATCATGAGAATTAGCACGACTTGATTTCCCTTCTGGTACGGATTCCAGTAGTGATGGATTGCTGGGAAGGTAATTTGATATTTTAGAAGATATCTGTGATAATCCATGTCTTGAAGATGTTGATATTTTTCTACTTCTATCATCTGTTAATCTCATTACTTGTGCTGCGCTTGCTGATCTTGCGAAATCCAATTTATTAGGTGATCGATCGTCTAACGCGAGGTTAGATTTATGTTTGAATATTGGCGGGGAACCGTTCGGATACTTATCCGTTGGTGTGTTATCCTCTGATGTTAAAACAAGTCGTGGATGACTTACTTCTAAATCAATCGGATCTTCTTCCGCGAATGGTTCAAGCTGGAGGAAAAATAAACCAATTATCAACGGTTGAAATAACTCATTAACAATTATGAAAAACGTTTAACTTGTAACTAGTTATTAACGGATATAACTAGTTAAACGTTAACTGTTATTAATAGCAATGTCATAGATTAATATATATCAACAAAGATTAAGATTGTAGAAAATAAAAACAAAGTTCAAGAGAAAAATATATTTAATACATCATAAAATTAACTTACAGATTACAGATAGAATATATTTTTAACTAGTCAACATAGTTTGTGCAGAATTTTTCAAATTCAAACATTTAATGCCTGTTCACAATTTGAACAAACATTTTAAAATGTGCGTCATAGGGAACAATTACATATGTTTATATATCTAAGTGGACAAATTTTTCTCAATTACTTTCAAGTGTGTAAAGAACTACAATTTGGAAGATATCAAAAATACTAACAATTTTAAAATAAAGTAAATATAAAAGTCCAAATGAAATTTTTAATGTATTGGGCATTCAATATAACTGAAGCAAGTATTATTTTTCTTTGACAAATGGCGAAAAAATGTTTTTCAAGCACTAATCTGCATAAATGGATAGGTTGTTGGAAGTTACAGCTTTTGTTTATGATGTCTAACAGATTAACTGTCTATAAAATCTTTTAAGGTATAATACTTAGATAGAATTAATCGATCTCTAATTTTATTTTCAATTTTCACCATAGGTACCAACTAAGATGGCGAAAGTCAAATAGAAGACCACAGAATACCACGTCTAATATCCTGTCCATTTATACAGATCTGTGTGTTTGAATATATGCCATATTTAAATAACAATATACGTTTTTCACTTCACTCCAAACAATATCCCAATAACAAATTTTTCATAAGGAAGCCTCTAAAGGAATCAATTACTTGAATACAAAAGTTGTAAAAAAATAAAAAAATAAAAATTCGTCACCGCACTTAAAAATATAACAAAAAAATTGAGTATAATTATCAATTTAACTAAATTCAAAACCTAACTACAAAAAAAACTTCATAATTCGTATATCTATAAAAATAACCTAAAAAAACTTGGCACGCAAAAAATACATTGCATATTCGACTTTAAGAACAAAGATAAAAGTTATTTTGAGGAAGTTGCAAAAAAAACTATTATTTTTACTTTGTAAATATCAATATTACTTGAAAGATTAAGGGCCTGTCCCACCAAATTGTAAATCTATACTATTATAATAAAGCGTAAACACACACTTTGTTGCCTAAGATGTCAGCAATTACAGCGTATTTTTTAATAATTCTTTTCTTAATAAAAAGCCCTACACTTACGTCATGCTTTAGGCTATATATTTTTACGCCTGATGGCGTTTTTTTTTACCAACTAAGTTTAATAACTTAGTTGGTAAATAAATTGGATAAAAATACTAATGTGGGGAAGAGACCATAAGTTGCTGCCAACATCAAGAAAGAAAGATTGGTAAGGTTTGTGATGTCATGTCATTTCATTTTGCTATTGATAATTTGACAAATGTAAACAATAAAATAAAATTTTCATAATTTCATGCGAATGAAGCCGCATGGGAACAGCTAGTATACTAATAACATTCCAACATCTAAAATATGTGATGGAAATATCGGATTTTGTTTTCTTAGTGTCGTCTTTTTTAGAATGTGTATATTAGAGGAAGTTTGAAAGTAGCGCCAGTGGTGGAGAAATTGAGAAGCAAAAGGTTAGCGTGGTATGGACATGTTATGCGACGAGACGATGGGGTCATGAACCAGAAAGTGTTAAGAATGAATATGGATGGCTACAAAGGAAGAGGAAGACCGAAGAAAGTATGGCTGGATTGGGTGAACGAGGATATGCTTAAGAAAGGAGTGGATTCAGATATGGCTGATAGAGATGTATGGAAGAGCAGCACATACTGTGCCGACTCTCCATAAGGGATAAGGGCAAGTGGATAATGATAGTGTCGTCATTTTAAAAGTATCTGAGCCTCTGTCAGCCAGTGGTGGGACTGGCCCTAAATTTGTAAAATGTACTAAATAGTTAAATAACGTAAAATATATATTTTATTTAGCATGTTTCAATCACAAGGCTCAAGTCAACACTAATTTATAAAATAATTTAAAAAATATATTTAGTAACCTAAAAAACCGAATCTTTTTGGAATGAACAATTTTGGTCTTAAAACTTTCTTAATACAAATAAAGTATGAAATAGTAAATTCAAAGAACCTATAGATGGGATGTTTACATAAGTTTGACGTGGATTTTCCAAGTAAAGGAGAATCTCCACTTATGTTTCAAGTTATACTAAAAAAAATACTTGATATATTTTAACTTCCTTGATAACGACTGATTTATGACGTAAGTATCCAGTTATAGTTTGTCTAAATAAGATAGATTACTTTGATAAATGACGCATATAAAGTATCGAATTCAATTTGTATGAAGGCTGACGTACTTAATAGACAGGTATCGTAGTGACGAAACACGCAGCGAACAATTATGAACTATCGATATTCGGTTTAAATAATTATCGAACTCAACTCAAATTATTATTTTCTTATTTAGTAATTTAGCGGATAATTCTAGTATTGATTATAGTGTAGAGAATTTAGCGATGACAGAAATAATAGCGAAATCCAATTCGATTACATACGGCTGTAGTAGTAATAAACATTTATTTACTCTCATTATTTGTTATGGTCATTATTAATTTGAGAAAACAGTGTTTTTTTCAATTCATAAATTATAACTATGAATCTATCGATTCCAACTTCTATAAGAATAAAAATCGATAATCGATAAGATTCATAACTGATTTTACACAACCCATCCCTACTAAATTTCAAATGAATTGTCAAACTAATTATTTATATATAATATTATTTAGACACAAAATATAACCAAAAATGAATTATTAAAATTAAAACGCAATAAATACGTGAAAAACCTAATTTGTTGAACTCCTCGAAATTACGTCGAAATAGAATTTAAAGAATTTTTTAAATGAATGAACCCAAAACCCTACAAAATCACATTTTATTAAGGTATATATGTAACCAGCAATAATTTAACGGTCTAATTCCTCAAGAAAAGGCTTTTAGAGACCTTTGTAGCCTCATGTGCTATATATTTTTGTATCTAGATATCTCTTAAACCTTTTGATTTTTCATCATCTCAAGTTCCGCCTTTCTCTTTTTATGTCTGTTAATTAACGGCATAAAAAGCCATAGAGACGAACCGGCTATAAAAATAAAACCAAATGTAACGAACATATTTACAAAATTCTTATCATATTCAAACCACAAACCACATATAGGGGGGCCTATTAATTGTAAAATGCCATTCACAAACAAACTGATCCCATATGTCGACATTAAACGATCTACGCCTAAAATTTCCGCCATAACTAACGCCGTGACACTATTATTTATACCCGAAGATAAACCAAATAACGCACAAAATATACTAATCGTCGTATAACTGTGAAGAAACGGTATAGTAGCTAATGTAACGCCAGAAAAAAATAAACCACCAACGAAATAAAAAGATTTCGGTATTAAATTTAAATCGCATAACGCTGAACCACCGATACGTCCGACCAGGTCGAGAGCCGACACGGTACTGAGGAGTAACGCACCTCTAGATTTGTCAAAACCTATATTTTGCGCATACGAGGGTAGAAGAATAATAAAATTCGTACAAGATATAGCGACCGTACTGCTCGATATTAAAATAACTAAATAAGTGGGATCCGTTAATAATGTAACATCGAAAAATTTATTCGGTTCACTTTTAGGTTTTTTTTTACAACAAAAACAACAGTAAGCGACATCAGCGACGCTTTCAGATATAGATTTTAATGAAAATTGTGATGCAAATACGTTTGGTTGTTCAAAGGCTGATAATGTGGAACCGTGGAAAGGTGTAGAAACGTAAGCAAAACTCGATGTAGACATATTCCTTTTTGGACCTATAGTACTTAATCTTCTACCAAAAGTCTCTTGTGAACCTAATTTCTTCTCGAAACCATCTTGTGCTATTGAGGCTGAACTGAAATTTGCTTTCGACATCGGTCTTGTATACGATAATTTCCGTTTAGATAGGTTATGTTTTAAATTCTGCGTTGAATTCATGCAATTTTGACTATTATGTACATGTGCTTGTGATAGATTATTCTCTGATGTGTCTTTTAATAGTTTCTCTTCTGGTTTTTCGATATTTTCAGTTGTATGCATTTTGTAAACTTCGATTGGTTCATCTTCTTCGAATAGTATATCCTGCAAAGGAATTTGGTACTTAAGAACAATACAATAAGAAATATTTTTGTACGTATAGTTAATTGCATGCGAAATTAAAAAAATATAAAAAAAGTTAAAGGAAACATATTTTTAGTGTCATGGTTAGATTTTAAGGTTAAAGGTTATTTTTTATTATTATTTGTCTATTATTATTTACAAATCTAGTTTATTCGATGTCCTAACTAAAGAATCTAATTTTTTTTTCAAATCTATATTTAAATTCTTTAATTTCAAGTTATCTATTACTATTCCAATATAATCACTTTCGTTAAACGCTATTTAAAAACAAAAAAGTAACGCGTTCGATTTTTTTTTTGAAAATGAAACATCATTTTGTGTAAGTGTTCTAAGGAAAGTGATTACTTGGCGTGCGTTATAAATAACGGTTATTAGTAACAGTGCTAATGTTAGTGATTAACGAACATGCTATTTAACGATAACTGTTATTTTTATCTACGACACTACATGCAAATTGAATGACATTTGAAATTGTCAAATGCTTGTAATTTTAAACAAGGGTTTTATTTATTTTAAAATGCTAGTTAATAAATTAAAAATGAAAATATGAGTGGTATTTTTTTTTTAATTCTAAAGTAAATTCACTACAGAAAAATCTTTTTTTAATGTTTCATGAAAAGAAAATATGAAAAAATTATGGATTCCCATTGACAAAAAAACTTATAAAAATCGTTATTCACTTAAAAAAAGATATATAATATAGCAATTTTAAAAATAAAATCAACATGCGATGAAATTAAGCAGAACAAAAAAGGAGCACAGAGTAAAAATGACAATACCATAGACAAGAACATAAACAGATAAAATGAGTGGCTTACTTTGTGTGACGCGTTTCATTTTCAAAAAAAAACACTTGACAAATAATCGTAAACACGAAAACGGTACTTTAACATACAAAAAAAAAACGTTCAAAAAAATCAATAATAGAAAACTGATATATATTATCCATGTGATTTTCAAAAAAATTCAAAGATAGTTAGAAACGGGTTAAAATAACATCAAATAGACCAAAAATAGTAACAAAATATGTAATAAATATCTTTGATTATATAAAAAATTCACGTAATAATGATTTAAATACCCCAAAAAGAGTTTTTTTATATTCTAGCCTAACCAGTGTACTAAATATATAAGTTTATGTTATAACCGATGTCATTATAACCGTTTTCTATTTAAAAACCCATAAAATACATTAATATCCCATAAACAAAGAAAGCGTCGAAAAAACTCCGCGACAAAAACCCGTAAAATTCACATATTCAATGTCAATCCAAAGCCAAAACATTTATTCCATAGACAAATTGATTTTTTTTTTTTAAATTAATTATCCAAAAAAATTTTTTTACATAACTAATTTTAGCCTGAGCAAGAAAGTAAAAAAAAATTCTAAAAAACACCTTAAGGATAGATTTTTTTAACACCGATTGAAAAAAAATCAACTAACCTGAGGCACTTCATCTTCTTCTTCTTGCTCTTTGTATTTCCTCACCATATGTTCTTCTACAGGCTGGAACAACAACGCGGCCGCCCACACATTTAACATCACCCCACCTAATATTAATACTGCCCCCCTGAAAAAAAAAACATTTTTTTAACAAAAGGCTATGATTTCTCTAAAATAAGTCGTTGCCATTTTACTAATATAACTAGCTTTCGCTCGCGACTCCGTCCGCGTGGATTTAAAAAAACAAAAGTGAGTACTCTATGTGTTCTTCCAGACTATCCTCTACGTCTATACCAAATTTCATCAAAATCCGTTCAGCAGTTTAGGCTACAATCTCTAACAAACATCCATCTAAACTTTCGCATTTATAATATTAGTAAGACTAGCTTTCGCTTGCAACTCTGTCCGCATGAAAATAAAAATAAACAAAATAGAGAGTCAGCCCAATCAAATTATTGTAAATTATCTGATAATATTGGAACGTTTAAAATATGTGATAGAAATATCGGATTTTGTTCCCTTATCTGTCTGTAACATTTTAAAGCTATCTGAGCCTCTATCAGCCAGTGATGGGAAAGGCCCTAAGTGTATGTGTTCTTCCAGACTATCCTCTACATCTATGACAATCATCGAGATCCGTTCAGTCGTTTAGGATACAAACTCTAACAAACATCCATCCATCTATCATTCACCTATACTATTATAATGTGTAAACACACACATCTTTGTTGCCTAAGATGTCAGCAATTACAGCATATTTTTGAATATTTATTTTATTAATAAAAAGCCCTACACTTACGTCATGCTTTAGGCTATACATTTTCACGCCATTAAACTTAGGGGGTAAATATTTTGGATAAAAGCCCTAATGTGGGAAAGTGACCATAAGTTGCTGCCAACATCAAGAAAGATTGCTAAGGTTTGTAATGTCATGTCATTTTGACATTTGCTATTGATAATTTAACAAAAGTAAACAATAAAATAACATTTTTATAACTTCATGCTGATGAAGCCGCACTGGAACAGCTAGTATATAAGTAAGATGTGAAAGTTTGTATGGAAGTTTGTTAGCATTTATATCTGAAATTGGTAATCTATATAAAATTTGCCATAAATGTAGAAGATATTCTAATTCAAGTCTCTTCCTCTTTACTACCCCTTTCTTATAAGGAGAGGATGTGAAGGGGAAGTGGATTTGACGGTGAAGGAGACGCATAGGAAGGGGAAATATTTATGAACACAGAACGCTTTTTAAGTGAGTCACGGACAAAAGCTAGTTAATAATAAAAATAGTTTTGTAGATAGAAGAGCGAAGTATGTATGGATTTTGCGAAGGTATCTAATGTATGGAAGCACTATGCCAAGGGACAAGGGAAACTTAAGTATTTTTTGTGATTTTTTAATATTTTTTTCAGTTGTAATACTTACTTGTATCCATAAGTTTCCAATAGATATCGCAGCAATGGTGGCAATATTATACTTCCGAAGGCAGACCCTGACATGCAAATACCATTTGCAAGTCCGCGGAGACGAACAAAGTATGACGTCACTATATACACTGTTGGGGGGAACGCCAGCCCCGCGCCCGCCCCCACCATCGCTCCGAAACTGAAATAAAAAAAAATAGATTTTTTTATAACATAAGGTGGCAAACGAGCAAGCGGCTTGAATCCACCGAAATGTAAAGCGTCCGCTGCACATAAACATCCGCAATTGCAGCGCTGCCTACCCTTCATTGACGGAGGAGACGCACATATAAGGACATTCCTTCCTATGTCTCCTCCATCATCAAAGTCTTTCCTTCGCATCCTTTCCTATTAAGAAAAGGATAGAAAGGGAAAGGGACTAAACTTCCTCCGGCACCACACTCATCATAATGTACGCGGAATTGCTTCCACTTCACGCACCACATGTCAATAAAATCAATTGTATTTAAATTGGCCACATTTTGTGATACTGTTTAGGTTATTTTAGAGCTTATTATAATTTTGTAAAATGTTTTATAACAAGTCAAAACGAGACGGCACTAAACTTGACAACTGACAGTACCTTTTAAAGACGTTACCAGTGAAAAAATGTTGATTCTATTGATTCAAAAAACAAAACCCAGATGACACCAAACAGAACGCAGAAAGATTTTTTTTATATCATAAAGTGGCAAACTATCAAGCCACCTGAATTCGCCAAAATGGCAAACTGGCCATATACGAGGAGACGCATATCTACTTTCCCTTCCCATTTCATAAAAGGGGCTAAAATTAGACCTCATGTGGCAATTTTTTTAAATACTGCGTAAAGTCACATGCAACAGTTATATTTCCCTTACCTAAAATATAAATATCCGATGGAAAACGCCAAACTGCTAAATATCATACCAAAAGCTGCAAAACATCCTCCGATCAGTGTCACAGTACGATAAGACCATTTCACTGAGAGAATCGACGATATTGGTCCTGTAAGGGTAAAATCGATTAAAACAACGTACCGCTTATAACGACCGAAAATCTTATTTTATACATATCCTATGTCATTATAATAAAGCGTAAACACACACTTTGTTGCCTAAAATGTCAGCAATTACAGAATATTTTTAAATATTTCTTTTGTTAATAAAAAGCCTTACATTTACATCATGCTTTAGGCTATATATTTTCACTTTAAACTGTCGTGGTTTTTACAAATATAATGTTCGTAAGATACGGGTTTCTTACCACGATTGAATTGTTTTAGCTCCCGATATTTCGGCACCACCACCATCATCCTCTGCACCTGAACGCCGTAGTCACGTCACTAGTAAACCGAGCCCATGATCTTTGTAACAAAGATCACTTACCAGGTGAACTCGAACATGTATCGAACGTACTGCCACGACGACGCAAACGGAACAGACCGGTGGAGGTGGCGAGGCAGCCTGCCTTCTTGCCTTACGTCAGAGGAGTAACCGACAAACTGTCGAAGATCTTGGGAAAGTACTCGATAAAAACTGTTTTTACTTACGACAGTAAGATAGGCCAAAAACTGCGTTCATCGAAAGACCGTATTCCGTTTGAAACACCAGGTGTCTACAAAATTAACTGCAGCTGTGGCAGCTCGTATATAGGACAAACCAAGCGCACCATCACCAGCCGCATAAAAGAACATATTCGAGCTGTCAAAAACGTCGAACCTCAGAAGTCGGCCATAGCTGAACATCTTCTGGATCCCTCCACCAATCACTGGATCGAACTTCATAGTCCCCAGGTACTTTCGACAGAACGCCACTACATACCGAGATTAGTTAGAGAAGCAATTGAAATTACAAAGTGCCAAAATTTCAATCGCGAAGATGGGTTTAAATTGTCAAGTGCCTGGAATCCAGTAATCCAGTATTACAACAAAACTGGAAAGCAGCCAAGTTCAAGTAAGCGCTCAAATGTGGACACCGTGAGTGTAGTTTGTCGACAGAAAACAGCTAGTGTGGACTTTAGTGAAAACAAGGATAAAAGTAGTGGTCGCCGTATCAGGAGAAAAGTAGACCGATATGGCTTCGTGTAACCTTTTTTTTTTCACACTACCGCATCACTTCAGTCAGCCCGTGAACATGGCGCATGCAACTGTGCCGAAATATCGGGAGCTAAAACAATTCAATCGCGGTAAGAAACCCGTATCTTACGAACATTATATATATATTTTCACGCTATTAAACTTAGGGGGTTAAATTGGATAAAAACCCTAATGTTGGAAAGAGACCATAAGTTGCTGCCAACATTAAGGAAGCAAAATTGCCAAGGTTTATCATGTCATGTCTGTCATTTTGACATTTGAAATTGAATTTGACAATTGTAATCTATAAAACAATTTTTATAATTTCCTGCGGATGAAGTCGCATGGGAACAGCTAGTTATTGATAATTTATCTTTCTAATGGTGAAAGAACTTTTAAAACAACTCCAATAGTTTTTGAGTTAATCCGTTACACAAATACATATTTCTTCATTACAATTATTTCCGGTTTCTTTATAGTTAAAGATTTGGACTTTAAAATATTTACATAGATAAGACTAATATTATAGAGGAAAAATTATCATATAATCATACTTCTTACTAATCTTACTAATATTATAAATGCGAAAGTTTAGATGGATGGATGTTTGTTAGCGTTTGTAGCCTAAACGGCTGAACGGATCTCCATGAAATTTGGCACAGGTTTAGAGCATAGTCTGCAAGAACACATAGGCTACTTTTTATCCCGGGATAAGTTATGGTTCACGTGGGATTGATTAATTTAGTTTTTTAATGTTCACTCGATCATTCTGCAACGGTTCAACATATCTTATTGGAATTTGGCACAGATGTAAAACAAAGTATGGAGTACACATGGGATAAGGTTTATCCCCGAGGTGTCCGGTTCCCGGGATACGTAGCTTTTTGTTATTTATATAGTTCGTATATTTTTTAATACCACGCGGACGAAGTCGCGGGCAACAGCTCGTAATATTATAAATGCGAAAGTTTAGATGGATGTTTGTTAGAGTTTGTAGTCTAAACTACTGAACGGATTTCGATGAAATCTGGATAGATGTAGAGGATGGTCTGGAAGAACACATAGGCTACTTACTTTTGTTTATTTTATGCCACGCGGACGGAGTCGCGGGCGAAAGCTATCAGTAAATACAAAGTAAATTAAAACTAGATAAACACTTAAATGTCTAGATTTAACTATAACATACCTAAACTGCTGTACAGGAAGTAGCAGAGGGCGACAATCCCAGATGAAGCGGATTCGCTGGCTTGAAACACATCTCTGAACTCGACCAATAACACGCCAAACGATTTGATAGTACCCGGTATTAATATATTCACTAATGTCGCTCCTGGAACAAGGAAACATTAATTAAAAAAACTCAACTGACGGTACAATCAGGGAAACTCGCGGTGGTCCATCTTAGAAGCTATAATAGTTTGAACGTTTTAAAACGAGACGCGAAACAAAAGCTAATGCAATGCAACTCATAAATATATCGGCCCCCCTATAGTTTGTCTAAATAAGATAGATTAGTTTGATAAATGAAGTATCGAATTCAATTTGTATGAAAGCAAATGCCATACTTTTTGGACGTCGTAGTGACGAAACAAACACGCAGCGAACAATTTTGAACTATCGATATTCGGTTTAAATAATTATCGAACTCAACTAAAATTATTATTTTCTTATTAACTAATTTAGAGGACAATTCTAGTATTGATTATAGTGTAGAGAATTTAGCGATGACAGAAATAATAGCGAAATCCAATTCGATTACGTACGGCTGTAGTAGTAATAAACATTTATTTACTCTCATTATTTGTTATGGTCATTATTAATTTGAGAAAACAGTGTTTTTTTTTTAATTCATAAGTTTTAACTATAAATCTATCGATTTCAACTTCTATAAGAATAAAAATCGAAAATCGATAAGATTTATGACTGATTTTACACAACCCATCCCTACTAAATTTGAAGTGAATTGTCAAACTAATCTTAAACTATTTAGACACACTATAGACAAAGTGACTTTCGATTAGCGACGTCGCTTGTAGAATCGGCAGAATGTGTCATAATGTATAGGGATGAATACGTGACAAGCCCGTGACTTATCAAACGTTATTGTTACTTCCATGGATTTTTCTTTTCGATCAGCGATAACGATAATCGAATGTTATTTTGGCTAAGGGGGCTGCCCTTTTAGACATCTACCCTTTATCTCGTTTTAAGAAACAAGGTAACTTTTCTTAAAGTGGAATACTGCGGATTTCCCCGAGTGTACGTACATAACACACAGTACTAATAAAATTACACTCAATATAAATTGGTAGTGGTAGTAACAGTGGTAGTGTCCGCTTTAACATCTCAGCACTGCAGGGCACGCCCCCAGAAATACCACGACCACACAGAAAACAGGCGTGAAATGGAAGCAATTCCGTGTTTCGTCTGATGACAGTAGTGCAGGAAGCCTAATTTAAGTCCCTTTCTCTTTACCACCCTTTTCTTATAAGGAGAGGATGGGATGGGGAAGTGGATTTGACGGTGGAGGTATAGGAAGGGGAAATATCTTCTTTATGTGCGTCTCCTCCTCCGTCGTATAAGGGTAGGCAACGCATCTGCAATTGCGGATGTCTATGGGTAGCGGTCGTTTCGCCATTTTGGCGGATTCAGGTGGCCGCTTGCTCGTTTGCCACCTTATGTTATAAAAAAAAATTACGTTAAATTGGACTTTGTCATACATACACCTTTCTTATTCGATATATAGCTATTTCATTCTATCTCCTTTAAACAAAAAGAGACAAGAGATTTGCACAGGCGGTGGTATATCCAGATAATATTTTTATTAAATTAAAAAGTGGGCGTATACCGTTATCATGCAAATCAGAACTCGTCACCGGAAACTCGTTTTACAATTGTATAACACTATATAGCATTTTAATAAAATTTATGACTCACTAGCTTTCGCCCAAGACTTCGTCCGCGTGGAATTAATAAAAAAACAAAAGTGAGTAGCCTATGTTTTCCACCACATCTATACCAAATTTCATCGAAATCTGTTTAGCCGTTTAGGTTACAAACTCTAACACACATCCATACATCTAAACTTTCGCATTTATAATATTAGTAAGAAGTAAGTTTTGAATGTCCAAGAGTATTCATAAATCCTGTCACACACAATCGCCGAAAAACATAAATATCTGAACCTTATGTAACTAAAGATAATATTAAAACTTACTTCTATAACCAGTGTGAATAACTAATTAAAAAATAATCTACTACACAAGTAGAGAAAAATACAATAGATTAGTGTTGTGTATAACTTTTTTTTTTACAAAAAACTCCGTCAAATTATGATTTAAGAAGGAAGAGTTGGATAAGTAAAGGAAAGTGATATTATATATTAAATTTTTAACATTACAATAAAAGCTAACAATCGCTATTAATTTGCCTACGGGGGCTAAACTAGTCTGACTTATTCCCAACTACGTTTTTTTTATAATATAAATTGGCAAACGAGCAAGCGGCCACTTGAATTCGCCAAAATGGGGAAGCGACCGCTGCCCATAGATATCCGCAATTGCAGATGCGTTGCCTACCCTTATACGATGGAGCAGGAGACGCACATAAAGAGGATATTTCCCCTTTCTATGCATCTCCTCCACCGTCAAATCCACTTCCCTTTCCCATCCTGTCATTATAAGAAAAGGGTGGAAAAGAGAAAGGGACTTAAATTAGGCCCGTTTACCCATTCGTTAGTGTTTATGGTTAGATAACTACGTAACTTGAGTTAAACTCCGTTGTAACTTAGTTTAACCTAACACTAATGAATCACTAAGTAATCTTACTAATATTATAAATGCGAAAGTTTAGATGGATGGATGTTTATTAGAGTTTGTAGCCTAAACAGCTGAACGAATTTCGATGAAATGTGGATTACACATAGAGGACTGTCTGGAAGAACGCATAGGCTACTCACTTTTGTTTTTAATTCCTGGGGGACGGAGTCGGGGGAGAAAGCTAGTGATGAAATAAATGAAAACCTCAGAAACTCAGCATTAGTTCGCTGAATTCGCTAACTATCGCTAGACCATCGCTTCGCTCGCTATGTGTTACAGTCTTAACGTAGTATAGGATAACAATGTCGTTTTACCTACGAGAACGAACCAGCCCCACTTGCCGTCGGGTGGGACCATCTCCCAGTCTCTCTCTGGCGCTGGGCCGATAGTAAACCGACCAGCGCCTACCGACGGACTCTCATCCTCCGGCAGCTTTACTGTGGAATAAAATAAAAATATTTTTAATACGTTAATTCCAAATCTTACTAATCTATATTAATATTATAAAATCACGTAAAAACAACTGGGTTTATTTTAAAAATTCTTTCACCGTTGAAAGGAAAATTATCCGTGAGTAACATAGGCTACAATTTTCAATTCCACGCGGGGTCGCGAGCAATAATAAAAAGGAGAGATTTGTTATTTTGCATGTAGATGCCCGTAAAAATTACTGGGCCTATTTTAAAAATTCTTTTACCGTTTGAAAGGTGAATTATCTGTGATTACCATGGGCTATTTTTTTTTATTACTTTTTATTATTGCGGACAAATTGGCACGAGACAACTAGTATACTCATATACTATGAGTAATACTATGAAAGATAAGATGGATGTTTGTTAATTTGTATCCTGAACGGCTGAACGAATCTCGATGAAATCTGGAAGAACAGACACTTACTTTTTTAATGAATGAATGTATGTATATGTATTTATTGCCACTAAAATATATTACATAAAAGGACTTTTTCTAAAGAATACAAATCTCAGCGTATGCAAGAGATTAAACCGTTCCTGCGCTGATTTTCAAGGATTTTGGATAATGTAGCTTTTAAACGGTGAAGGAATTTACCTCTTTATAATATTAGTATGATGTACGTGAAATGTAGAACTATGTAAAATTCTTTAATAGTACGTCATCAATTGCGTTACGTTACGTCATCAAATTGCCAAGTATCTTATGAACCGAACGCGCTTCTGCTGACCTCCTTCCAGACAAACGATTTATAAATAACACTGGAGAAGTATTGGCTTACATCCAGATACTGGATATTGCTGAATTTCATTGTTCAACGGTTCTCTAAAAATTTATTACATAACTAGCTGTTCCCGTGCGGTTTCATCCGCATGACATTATAAAAACTTTATTTTATTGTTTACAATTGTCGAATTCTCAATTGCAAATGTCAATACCAAGTACCTAACTATGGCAATCTTGTTTCCTTGATGTTGGCAGCTTGTAGCTCAAGTCTCTTTCTCGCATTGGAGTTTTTCCAATTTATTTACCCCTTAAGTTTAATAGCGTTAAAATATGTATCCTAAAGCGTGACGTAAGTGTAGGGCTTTTAGTTAAAAAAAGTTTTATTGAAAAATATGCTGTAATTGCTGACATCTTACGCCACAAAGTAGTTTGTGGTTACGCTTTATTACAATAGTATAGATATAGATATTTAGAAACTAAGTTAAGTATAGAAACCAAAAAATAAGTTTTACGCTAGCTTTTGATGAAAGATTTGTATTTTTGTACGCAATGAAATAACTCAAAAACTACTTGGGACGAGTTTAAAAATTCCTTCACCGTTAGAAAGGTGAATCTGTGAGTAACATAGGCTATTTTTCTTTATTTTTTTTATTATTAAATTTCACGCGCACGGAGTCGCGGGCAAATGCTACTTAATATTGACTCGTGTTTGGGGATCTATTTTTTACTTCTCCATATTTTTTTAATCTCTTTATAGTACTAGCGTAGTACAAGCAGTGGGACTTGCGTCAAGTGGTCAATATGAAGCAATCAAAAATAATTACGAACATACATACGAGTATAACAAATAACTACGTCGTTACGCAGTGATGTCATCTTTACTACACTAACGATTGCTCACGTATTCAGCAGCGCTAAACTATTTTGTTTAATAAACAGCTTACTAGCTTTTGCCGCGTGTTCTATGCTTAATATTATAAAGAGGAAAAATTTGTATTTTTGTATGTATTGAAATAACTCAAAAACTACTGGGACGATTTTAAAAATTCTTTCACCATTAGAAAGGTAATTTATCTGCGAATAATACAGGCTACATTTTATTATTACAAATGTTTATGCTACAAACTCTAACAAACATCCATCCATGTAAACTTTCGCATTTATAACATTAGTATGATGTTACTCAATAATTACTTAGCTATTTATTGGTGGAAGAATTTTTAAAATTGTCCCAGTAGTTTTTGAGTTATTTTAATACTTACAAATATACAAATCTTTCCTTTTAATAATATAGATTGCAAAATAAGGAAAGAACGCCTATCTCTCATATGTATAAACGAACTGGCTTTTTCCCGCGACTCCATCCGCGTGGAATTAAAAAATAAAACAAAAGTAAGTAGCCTATGTGTTCTTCCAGACTATCCTCTACATCTAAGAGAAATTTCATCGTAATCCATTTAGCCGTTTCGGCTACAAACTCTAACATCCATCTAAACTTTCGCATTTATAATATTAAATTAAGAAAGTAAGATTAGCTTTTGTTTGATTCAAGAATTAAATTCCATGTGTTATTCCATTGTTCTATATCTGTGACCAATTTTAACGAAATCAATTCATCCATTTTAGAGATATTTAGTAACATCCATCCATTACAACTTTCGCATTTATATTAGTAAAGATAAACAAGAACTTACCACATTTTATCTTTCTGTATTTCGATTTCATAATAACACAAGCCTACGAATCAACACTGACGTTTAACAAATAATCGCGTAACTACCCGCATTTAAGATATCGGAGATAAAAATTCAACTACCCTCATGTTGAAAGTAAATTTTAAAGTTGCCAACTTTAACGATGCGTTCATTTTTATTTATAAAAATTATTAACTGTTTTATTTTATTGTTATATCTATACTATTATAATAAAGCGTAAACACACACTTTGTTGCCTAAGATGTCAGCAATTACACCATATTTTTGAATAATTACTTTTTTAATAAAAAGCCCTACACTTACGTCACGCTTAAGGCTATATATTTTCACGCCATTAAACTTAGGGGTACATATTTTGGGTCAAAACTCTAATGTGGGAGAGACCATAAGTTGTTGTCAACATCAAGAAAGAAAAATTGCTAAAGCTTGTCATGTCATGTCATTTTGACATTTGCTATTGATAATTTGACAAATGTATACAAAAAACTAAAATGTTCATAATTTCAAGCGGATGAAGCCGCACGGGGACAGTTAGTACATATAATAAAATTGTAGTGTCTGTAATATCAAAAGAAAAAATCCAGATTTCGGGAAGATTAAGTCTTTGCGTTGCTGATATCCAAAATTGCATTTAAAAAATTTTTGTCCGTCTGTCTGTCTGACCTCAAGCCGCGTTTGTTCCGGGTAATCTCCGAAACGGCTGGACCGATTTTGACGGGACTTTCACTGAAGGGTAACTGACATAGACGGGCATATTATTGGCTACTTTTTATCCCGGATAAAGCTACGGTTCCCGAAGGATACACACAAGTCACAGGCAAAAGTTAGTATTAAAAAAATCTTTACAAGTTAATTTTTTAGTAGTAAAGTATACAATTATTTTTGTCCAATTAATATGCATATTGCTTATTACAATCTTCAACTGACTGTTACTGACCTTTTTTCGATGATTTTATCGTAGTCTGTCCATCTTCATTGGCCACTATAACAGCTCGACTTTTATCCAACAGCTTCTCTTCCGCTTCATCAATTGTCTCCTTTCCCTCCGAAATCGGTGCTGTCGCCGCCATTTTTGTTTACAAACGCTATAAAATGTCGGATCCAAGATGGCGCATAATCTCACGTCAATGTATAAACATATTCTGGAATGTATAATCTATAAAAAAACGTTATGGCGTCATAAAAAAATTCGCTACATAATTTTGTAGTTTGCAAAAATCAGTCTTCTAATTTGGCTGGCTTTGGCGTACCTGGAACAAAGAAACATTCGTCGTTAGTAAAAATAATAAAAATATACTAACCGTTGCCCGCAACTCTGTCCGCGCAGAATTAAACAAACGTAACCATTGCGTTCTACCAGATTATGTTGAATATCTATACTAATATTATAGAGAGGAAAGATTTGTATTTTTGTATGTATTTGTTACACGTAAAATTACTGGGCCGATTTAAAAAATTCGACAAATGTAAACAATAAAATAAAATCTTACTAATATTATAAATGCGAAAGTTTAGATGGATGGATGGATGTTTGTTAGAGTTTGTAGCCTAAACGGCTGAACGGATCTCAATGAAATTTGGCACAGGTTTAGAGCATAGTCTGGAAGAACACATAAGCTACTTTTTATCCAGGGAATAGTTACGGTTCCTGTGGGATTCATTAATTTAGTTTTTTAATGTTTACTCGATCATTCTGCAACGGTTCAACATATCCTTTTGAAATTTGGCACAGATATAAAACAAAGTCTGGAGTACACATGGTATGAGGTTCATCCCCGAGAAATGTCCGGTTCCCGGGATACGTAGCTTTTTGTTATTTATATAGTTTGTATGTTTTCTTATATCACGCGGACGAAGTCGCGATCAACAGCTCGTATTTTATAATTTCATGCGGATGAAACCGCACGGGAACAGCTAGTGTTTAATAGTTGCAAAAAGCGCTTACCCAGAATTAATTTGTAACTATCGAGATGTAGTTTGAATTGCAATTTGTATTTAATAATGCGTTTGAATTGATACATAGATTTAAAACAAGTGTGGCAACACCTTTAAATTTTAAAACCAAATAAAAAGTTACTTCTTATAGACTTAACAACTTAAATTTAAGCCTAATTTAAGTCCCTTTCTCTTTACCACCCTTTTCTTATAAGGAGAGGATGGGAAGGGGAAGTGGATTTGACGGTGGATATGTATATGAAGGGGAAATATCCTCTTCATGAGCGTCTCCTCCTCCGTCAGATAAGGGTAGGCAACGCATCTGCGATCGCGGATGTCTATGGGCTGTCGCTTCGCCATTTTGGCGGATTCAGGTGGCTTGCTCGTTTGCCACCTTATGGTATAAAAAAACTTGACTTTGAAATCTGAGGTGCCATAGTTAGGTTATGTATGTATACTTATATAGTTTGGATGGATGCATGTTTATTACTCGTCTCACTGATATTTACTAAGATTTTATCCCGCGCAACATCGCGACTAAAAGTTACTTTACAACAATTACAAAAATTATACAAAATAATACATCACGCGACCAGCTAAACAAATATATTTACCATACTGATAAGATTTCTCTAGATAAGTTATCCGATTGTTATAAAATTATAGTACAGACTTTAAAATAACAGAGATAATTTAACAGTGGTAGTGCCCGCTTTAACATCTTAGCACGAATGGGCCGGCACGCCCGGTGTAATACCACGACCACATAGAAGACAGGCGTG